TTGTTATGAGCTGAGATCCCCTCAAGATATAAATGTTAAAAAAAAAAGATATAAATGTTGAAGCCCTGACCTCCCAGTACCTCAGAAATTTGACTGTATTTGGATATAGGGACTTTAAAGAGGTGATGAAGTTAAAATGAGGGCTATCAGGGTGGGCCGTAATCCAGTCTGACAAGAGTCTTTATAAGAAGAGGAAATTTGGGGGTGCCTGGGTGGCTTAGTTGCTTAAGCATCCTGTGATCAAACCCCATGTGGGGTTCCCTGCTCAATGGGGTGTCTGCTTCTCCCTCTCCTCCTGCCTCTGCCTCCTTCCCACTCCTCATCCTTGCTCTTTCTCTCTCTCTCTCTAGAAAAAAAAATAAAAAATATTTTTTATTTTTTACATTTAAAAAAAATATTTACTTGAGAGAGAGAATGCTCACACGAGCAGGGGAAGGAGCAGAGGGAGAGGGAGAAAGTCTGATGCAGAGACCGATCCCAAGATCCTGGGATCATGATCTGAGCCAAAGGCAGACACTCAACTGAATGAGCCACTCAGGCGCCCCAGTAAAAAAAAAAAAAAAAAAAAAAAAAAAAAAAAAAAAAAAAAAGAGGACATTTGGGACATTTGGACACACAGAGACACTCCAGGGATGTGACCACACAGAGGAAGGATTATGTGAGAACACAGCAAAAGAGCAGCCATTGCCAGGCCAAGGAGACAGGCCACAGAAACCAAACCTGCTGACAGTTTGATATTGAACTTCTAGGCTCCAGAATTGTAGGAAAATAAATCTCTGTTGTGGAAGTTACCCAATCCGTGGTATTTTGTGATGGCAGCCCTAGCAAATGAATACAAGCAGAACTATCATCTTAACAAAACTAATTTTTCCAGTTCACAAATATGGGATGTCTTTCCATTTGTTTCAGTGTTAATCTCTTTCTGCAGAGTTTTGTGGTTTTCATCTCTTTGTACAAACTTTTTTTTAAGATTTTTTTTCTAAAGATTTTATTTATTTATTAATAAGACACACACAGAGAGAGGCAGAGACACAGGCAGGGGAAGAAGCAGGCTCCATGCAAAGAGCCCGCCCGACGTGGGACTTGATTCCGGGACTCCAGGATCATTCCCCGGGGCCAAAGGGAGGTGCACAACCCCTGAGCCACTCAGGCATCCCAATTTTTTAAAGATTTTATTTTTTAAAAAAATTTTTAAAATTTATTTATGATAGTCACACACACAGAGAGAGAGAGAGAGGCAGAGACATAGGCAGAGGGAGAAGCAGGCTCCATGCACCGGGAGCCCAATGTGGGATTCGATCCTGGGTCTCCAGGATCACGCCCTGGGCCAAAGGCAGGCGCTAAACCGCTGCCCACCCAGGGTTCCCCTTAAAGATTTTAAAGTAATCTCTACACACCCAACATGGGGCTCAAACTCACAACCCTGAGATCAAGAGGTACATGCTCCATGGACCGAGTCAACCAAGCATCTCTGTACAAACTTATTTGTAAATATTTTATTCTTTTTGATGTTGTGAATAGTATTGTGGGTTTTTTTTTTAATTTCCTTTTCAGATTGTTCATTAGAAATTGTTTCATTAGAAAGTGTGTAGAAATACAACTGGTTTTTGTGTGTTGACTTTGCATATTGCAAGTTAGCTGAATTCATTTTTGAGCTCTAATAGTGTGTGTGTGCGTGCGTGTGTGTTTATTCTACATATAATTTTTTTTTTTTTATTCATAGAGATGCAGAGAGAGAGAGAGGCAGAGACACAGGCAGAGGGAGAAGCAGGCTCCATGCAGAGAGCCTGACGTGGGACTCCATCCAGGGTCTCCAGGATCACGCCCTGGGCTGCTGGTGGCGCTAAGCTGCTGCGCCACCGGGGCTGCCCTCTACATATAAAATCTTATCATCTACAGAGATCATTTCAATTCTTCCTTTCTAAATTGGGTGCCTTTATTTTCTTCTTCTTGACTAATTCATCTGGCTAGAAATTCCAATACTATGTTAATAGAGGTGGGCATCCTTGATTGTTCCTGACCTTAGGGGAAGGCTTTCACTTTCACTACTGTGTATGATGTTAGCTTTGGGATTTGTATATATTGCCTTTACCCTGTTAAAGAAGTTCCCATTTAATCCTAGCCTATTGCACGTTTTTTATTATAAAAGAGTGTTGAGTTTTGTCAATGTTTTTTTCCTGCATCAATTGAGATGATCATGGTTTTATTTCCTTTACTCTACTAATGTGATATATTACACTGATTGCTTTTTGTATGTTGAGTCTTACATTCCAAGGATTGCCATGATAAAACCCACTTGGTCTTAGTGTATAATCCTTAGAATGTGCTGTTGAATTCGGTTTGATATTGTTTTGTTGAGGATTCTCTTATTTATATTCATGAAGGATATTGGCCTTTAGTTTTCTTGTCTCGTGATGTCTTTGTCTGGCTTTGTTATAAAGATATGAGGGTAAGAAAGAGGAAATGTTCTCTATGGTTTTTTGGAGGAGTCTCATAAAAATTAGTGATAACGTGTCTTTGAAAGTTTGGTAGAATTCACCAGTAAAAAAATAAAAATAAAAATAAAATAAAATAAAAATAAAAATAAAATAAAAATAAAATAAAAATAAAAATAAAATAAAATAAATAAAATAAAATAAAATAATTCACCAGTAAAAACATTTGGTCCTAGACTTTTCTTTGTTGGAACATTTTTTAAAAATATTTTTTCAGGGATCCCTGGGTGGCGCAGCGGTTTGGCGTCTGCCTTTGGCCCAGGGCGTGATCCTGGAGACCCGGGGTCGAATCCCACGTCGGGCTCCCGGTGCATGGAGCCTGCTTCTCCCTCTGCCTGTGTCTCTGCCTCTCTCTCTCTCTGTGACTATCATAAATTAAAAAAAAAAAAAAACTTACAAAAAAAAATTTAAAAAAATATTTTTTCAGGAATCTGTATACCCAACATGGGGCTCAAACTTACAAACCTGAGATCAAGAGTCACATGCTCTACATGCTCTATTGACAGAACCAGCCAGGCGCCTCTGTTGGAACATTTTTAAAATTACAGATTTGGGGATCCCTGGGTGGTGCAGCAGTTTAGCGCCTGCCTTTGGCCCAGGGCGCGATCCTGGAGACCCGGGATTGAATCCCACATCGGGCTCCCGGTGCATGGAGCCTGCTTCTCCCTCTGCCTGTGTCTCTGCCTGTCTCTCTCTCTCTCTCTGTGACTCTCATAAAAAAAAATAAATAAATAAAATAAATAAATAAAAATAAAAATTACAGATTTGGAAAAAAATAAAAATAAAAATAATAAAATTACAAAAAATAATGATAATAATAATAAAATTACAAATTTGGGGTGCCTAAGTGGCTCAGTCAGTTAAGTGGCAGATTTTTGATTTCAGCTCAGGTCATGATCTCAGACTCTCCGCTAGACACAAAGTCAGCTTGTCTTCCTTTCCCTCTGCCCTGCCCTCCAAATGCATATTCTCTCTCTCTCTCTCTCTCTCTCTCTCTCTCTCTCTATATATATATATATATATATATATATATATATATAATCTTTTTAAAAATTACATATTCTGGGGTGCTTGAGTGGCTCAGTGGTTGAACATCTGCCTTCAGCTCAGGGCGTGATCCTGAGGTCCTGGGATCAAGTCCCATATCAGGTTCCCCACGGGGAGTTTGCTTCTCCCTCTACTTGTCTCTGCCTCTGAGTGTCTTTCATGAATAAAATCTTTTTTAAAAATTAGATTCAATCTCCTTACCTATTCTAGATATACTCAGATTTTCTATTTCTTCTTGAGTCAGTTTTGGTAGTTTTTATGTTTTTTATTTTTTTTAAGATTTTATTTACTCACGAGGGACAGAGAGAGAGAGGCAGAGACACAGGCAGAGGGAGAAGCAGGCTTCATGCAGGGAGCCCCATGTGGGACTCGATCCCAGGTCTCCAGAATCAGGCCCTGGGCTGAAGGCGGCACTAAACCGCTGAGCCACCAGGGCTGCCCAGGTTTTATGTTTTTTAGAAATTTTTAATTTTTTAAAAAATATTTTGAGAGAAAGAGATGAGAGTGAGTGAGAGAGAGAAAAGGTGCAGGGGGTGGGGGTGGAGCAGAGGAAGATTGAGCAGGGAGCCTGATGCCAGGCTGGATCCGGGAACTCTGGGATCATGACCTGAGCTGAAAGTAGATGCTTAACCAACTGAGCCACCCAGGCATCCCAGAAATTTTTCATTTCATCTAGGTTATTCCATTTGTTGGTATACAGTTGTTCATAGCATGCTCTTACAATCATTATTTCCCAAAAAAGGTGATAGATCGTTGTTTTTTAATCCAATCTTCCAATCTGTGCCTTTTAATAGGATACTTTAACCCAATATTTTTAGTTTTATTAAGACATTTTTTTGTGACCTAACATATCCTCTATCCCGGAGAATGTTCCATGTGCTTGAAAAGAAAGTGTATTCTGCTGAAGAAAATAGATCTGCCATGGACCAAATGCTTGTGTCTCCACCTCCCTCCCTCCCTCATTCATATGCTGACATCTAACCCCCAATGTAATGGTATTAAAAGATGGAGCCTTTGGGAACCCTCATAATTGAATTAATGCCCTTATAAGAGACTCCAGAAACCTCCCTTACCTCTACCACCAAGTGAGGACACAGCAAAATGATGACCATCTATGAACCAGAAAGCAGGCTCTAACCAAACATGGAATCTGTTGGCACCATGATCTTGGACTTTCAGCCTCCAGAACAGTGAGAAATAAATTTCTGGGGATGCCTGGGTGGCTCAGTGGTTGAGCATCTGCCTTTGGCTCAGGGCATGATCCCGGGGTTCCAGGATTGATTCCCACATCAGGCTCCCTACATGGAGCCTGCTTCTCCCTCTGCCTTTGTCTCTGCCTCTAACTCTTTCATGAATAAATAAAATATTTTTAAAAAATAAATTCGTTCTTTGTAAGTCACTCAGTTTATGGTACTCTGTTATAGCAGCCTGAACAGACTAAGACAGGACACAACAGGGTATTATCACATTTTCCTTATTTGCAATTAATTTTGTCGATGGGTCTTTCGATGCTGACTGTTGTGCCATATTGCTTGACCATCCCTCACCTCCCTCCTGAATCCCAGATGGGACATTCCTGAAGCCTCTTGGATGGCCTCCTCCAGAAGTCTCTCAGACCTCCCACACTTGCCATGACGCCAAAGGCCTCAGTCAGTCCCCCAAACTCTCGCCTTCTCCCTGGTCTTCAGGGACAGCCTCTTTGTCCCTCAGTCTGCAGGGCAGAGCCTGGACTGACTTTCTTTTTCTTTTTCTTTCTTTTTTTCTTTTTCTTTTTTCTTCTTTCTTTCTTTCTTTCTTTCTTTCTTTCTTTCTTTCTTTCTTTCTTTCTTTCTTTCTTTCTTTTTCTTTCTTTTCTTCTCTTCCCTTTCTTCTCTTCTCTTTCTTCTCTCTTTCTAAGTAGGCTTCATGCCCAGTGCAGAGCCCAGTGTAGGGCTCAAACTCATGACCATGAGATCAAGACCTAAGCCGAGATCAAGAGTCAGATGCTCAACCAACTGAGCCACCCAGGCACTCCAGCCTTGGATCTTTCCTTAAATGCCTCCTTTGCTCCCACTCCCTTCATGGTCCTCCAGCCCCATGGCCTGTTCACTAAGCCTCCTGAGCATCTCTCCCATCTGCTGCCTCCTCCCCTTCCTACACCAGGCTTTTTAGTCTTAGCCCCATCCTCTTCTGTCTAGGTCTCTGGCCTACTGCCTCCCTGGGGTCTCTGGCTCCAGGCCTGAGCTGTCCTCTACAGGAGCATCTTTCTACATTGAGCCATGTCCTTTGGCCTCTCAGCTCTGAGTACTCTTCTGGTAATATCCAAGCATCAAAACATGACCTCAGCACCCTTGCCTGCTCTGGAGCTATGTCGTTATGGACAAGCTGGTCCAGCTGTCTGCCCTGATGTCCCCTCAGTTTGTGTCCCCTGGGTCTCTACTCCCAGAGTAGGGGAGTATATAGAGGAGAGTGGTTAGAGAACCTCCATAGTCATTGCACCCAAGATCTCTGGCGGAGGACTGGTGCTAAGCTTATTAGGTGGACAGTGGGTAGTGTACAAGGTGTGTTTGGGGGGGCTGGTTTTTATTGCCTTTCAGCCTTCCCCCTTCTTGACAGCACATTTTCCTTACAAGGACTGTCCTTCCTCACACATAATCAAGAGATTTGGGTAGGACTGCCCTCAGCTCTAGGGGTGAACTCAATTGGTTTAACTCTGGCAGTGTGAGTAGTGAAGGGGTGAGCTCAGGATCCACCCCCATCCAATCAAAGTGACTGACAGGACTTGCCTGGGAATGTTGGACTCCAGCCCCTTCTATGGACAATAAGATATGTGGACAAGCAGCCTCAGGCTGTGAAGGGGGCTGGCCTGACGTTAGAGACCACACTCAGAGGAAGGCAGGTCAAGGAAAGCTACAGTGAAATGGAGCCAACATCCTGTAGACATTGAGGACTTCTGGATCAAACTATGCCTGAAGCCTATATTAAAGCCCATAAAAAAAATAAAGCCCATAAATTACCACTTCTATGCAGGCCATTTGAATGAAATTTTTGCTACTTGCAACTAAAAAAAGGCCTTCTCTCCAGAGTTCCTTCTTCTACTGTCTTAAGCTAGACACTAGATAGGTATGGAAATTCAAAATATTTAATGACTGGTACTAAACCTGGGCACTGAACAATCAGAATGTACTGTAGGCCACAGCAGCAGGCCTGGGTCATAGAAGTCCTTACTGGGCTGTAGGGAGGTTGGGGCAGCCCAGGGTGGGGCAGAGTTGGCAGGTACACAGAGAAGCTGCTATTTACCAACTGGCACAGAAGGATTTTGATTTTAATGACCCATATGGCTGTGTGGTACAAACTAACTGAACATGAGCCCTTACAGGGGCCCATAGCTGGTCCTGAAATGAGGATTTAAGTGTAAAGGAGAAGTGAAAATTGATGAAAAAAAAAAAAAAAAAAAAAAGCCTGGGACGGAGGATAGTTGCATTTCCAAGATGGTGCAGGAAGTAAGGGGAGAGCACTGGTTGGGGGTGGGCAGGCAAGAGGCTCAGGTAATAGAATGCTTCTTCGAGGTTTCCACAGGGGCCTCCTCTTTCTCCTCCACCACTTTGGAACTGACGCTGGAGCTGACGCTGGAGCTGACCTTGGATTTGGTCTCAGATGTCCCACTAAAGATTCTAGAAGGGGAAGTGTAGGTGTAGTAGGACTCCGATGTGATGATGTTGTTTATCTTCCAGCGGAGCGTGTTGCAGGCCTTCACCACAACAGGCAGCAGGAGGCAGAAGACGATATAGAGGATCACCAGGCCAATAAACACGCTGGATGACACCTGGAGACACCATACAACAGGCATGGGTGGGCAGCCTGAGAGCCCCATTCCCCTAACAGGGCAGCTCCTGGGTATCCACTCACCATGAGGATCAAGAGTGCCCGCTTGGCACTGAGTGGGAGCCCATGGATATGCAGCAGGAAGGTGAGCTGGTAGTCACAGTATGTACTCTTGTCCACACCTCTGGGGGTTGGGATGGGGTTCAGTATTAGGGAGGAGTCAGGCATCCCATAGGAACCCCCAACTCTATCTGGGTGCCATGCCTGGCTCACCTGTTGCTCACCAACACCTTGAAGAAGAATTCGGGGGCAAAGATGGTATGGGGAATGGTGTCATGGCATGGGGAGTTCCTCAGACACAGCCACCTGGGGACCCAAGTTCAGACAATGTGCTACACATCATGCCTAGCATGTGCCAATCTCTGATCTCCCCCTCCAGCCCACAAACTGGGTGAGCACCAACTAGATGCAATCTCATCCCTTCTTCCCTGATTCACTCCTTCATTCATTCATCCAATAAGGCTGACTCCATGTCTACCCATGTGACAGGCTGTTTACTCATTCATGTCCTCCTGCCTTACCATCTCCATCTGTCAATTCCTCCACTATGATGCATTCATCTAGATTATGGAGTATATATCATTTGCCAATTCCTCTTTCATTCCTTGCTGCCTTCATTTCTTCATCCCACAAATATACCTTGAGTACCTACTAGGTACAAAGTCACATCTCCATTCATTTATGCTTTCCTTTACTCACTTATTCAATAAATACAAGTTGAATACTGATTAGGTGCAAGTTGGTTGCCCCATTCATTCATTTACCTCCTTCATTTGTTCATGATACTGTTATCTTCCTTTCACTGAATCAAAAATAGTTATTGAGCCCCTACATACTAATTTGTTCCTCCAGGGCAGCCCTGGTGGCACAGCGGTTTGGCGCTGCCTGCAGCCTGGGGTGTGATCCTGGAGACCCGGGATCGAATCCCACATTGGGCTCCCTGCATGGAGCCTGCTTCTCCCTCTGCCTGTGTCTCTGCCTCTCTCCCTCTGTGTCTATGAATAAATAAGTGAAATCTTTAAAAAAAAGATTTTAAATAAAATCTTTTTAAATAAAAAGATTTTAAATTTTAAAAGATTTTAAATTTGTTCCTCCATTGTTTTATTCATTCATTATGACCTCCACTCAAATGTCAATAAATGCCTACCATGAGTGAGTGAATGAATTCATTCATTGTCTCATTCACAAATACTGTGTTTAGGCTATCAGGACCTGGATATATAAGCATAGAGACCCCACGACAGTAACAGCCCAGAGGGCAGGTTGGGATTGGGGAGGCACAAGTATAGAGAGGCGAGGGTGAGAACAGGAGAAGCACAGGAGGACATGGGAATGAATGTCCCCTCGGACGAAGGGACATCTGAATTAAGGCCTGAAGAAAGATTAAGAGTCAGCCACTTGAGGAACATGAAGGTGGTCAGTCTGGCTTGAGGATCAAGAGGTCTCCCTGAGGAGAAGGGATGACAGCCCAGGCAGACTGTGGACAGGTGGGGGATAAGGGGACCAGCAGGCAGGCCATGCACTCACTCGATGCCCAAACTCTGGTGGGTCATGATGTTGAAGGCTGGGTCCTTGGTGGTCGTTGTGTTCTTGGTGGTCCAGATGAGGCTCTGAGTCCTGCACAGGACCGAGTAACCTCAGGGCAGGGTGAGGGTGGGGGTGGTGTGGGGGTGGTCCTTGGCAGGCAGGAGGCAGGTGCAGAGAGGCCTACAGTATGAACAGTTGGGGGTAAGGAGCAGAGGGAGGGGTGGGGCCTCAGCCTGGGTAGGGCAAGCATCTGTGCCATCCTAGGAGCCTGAGGTACCAGGTGAGTGGTGCTTGTGGGTAAGCATGTGGTTCGTGGCTGGGAAGCAAGAGGGGTCTGCAGGGGAGAGAGGGCAGATTGTGGGCAGGGTCCCACAGGAATTACTTGTCCAATGGGCTGTTGAAGCGGTAAATCTCCTCCTCGCTGTATTCCCTGATGGTGTCCATCGTGGGCCCGCCGCCTATCACCTTGAGCACGTAGCTGCCAGGTGCAGAGGTGCACATGGACTGGCTTCAGGATCCAGAGTCCTGCCTCACCTCTACCGCTCCGTACTCTATCCCCCTACCCACTCCCTGCCCTGCCAACCAAACTCCCGTCAGGCATCGATTTGGCTATGTCTTTACCTGCCCTGAAAACTGCCTGAATCTCCTGTCACCAGATCTTGGATCAAGAAGAAAGGGTAGAAGACTGTGGGGTTGGAGGGAGTCAGGAGGAGAAGAAATTAGCCTCAGAATTAGGATGGAGAGGGGAGGAAGGAGAGTTGAGAAGACCAAAGGGAAGCGCAGAGGATGAGTGAGGAACTGAGTGAGCAGTGAGGGAAGGCAGGCCCAGTGGTGGGGACAGAGGACAGTGAACAAATGAGGTGAGGGCACTGGACACGCACTGTCACGGAAGAGGAAGCAGGGCATCTCGGGGTCAACATTCACGCAGTCGAAGTAGTGCTTGTTCTGCAGGCGGTTGTACTCTAGCGTGTAGGTGATGTCAAATGCCAGGCGCTTGCCTGGGGGGCAGCCGATGAGCACTGGCACCATAAAGTTGCCCTAAGTGGGAGGAGAAACTTTGCACTGGACACTGGACGGCAGGGCCGGAGACACACCCTTCCTCCCACACACACCACCTCTTCCTGCCAGGCTCACCCTCACCATTGCCATATGATCATTATTATCATTAAAACAATACTCTAATAACTGCATTTATGCATGTGTGCAAAGCACTGGGTGATGTTCTAAGTGCTTCAGACTCAAATTTAATCCTCAAAAAAGCGAGCCTTGTATGGTTGAGACTCTTCATATCTCCATTACAGAGATGGCAAAAATCAGGCACAGGGAAGTCCAGCCATTTATTAATTATCTGAAGCCACATCTGAAGTGGTAGAGCTGCAGTGGGAGCTGGGAGTTTGGTTCCAGCTGCCTCCCAAAAAAGACACACAAAATCGCTAACACCTACACCCACAGAGAGGCCAACTCAGAGGTGGACTGCTCGGGGCTCAGATTGGGCCTGTCAAATAATAGATCTGGGAGGAGCCTGGGATATAGGAGGGAAGTGGAGCCCAGGATGGGGGTTAGGAGTCAGGGAATTCCCATGACCTTGTTTTCGGGATGAACAGCTTCAGGCCCCTTTCAGGGGTAGGGTCCAAAGGCTTCATCCAATTGTCAAAGGGATGTGGGCATCCACAGACCATGGCCTGGGCTTGACTGTGACTGTGGAGAGGTGCTGATGGCCAGAGATTAAGCACTCCCCCTGCTAGGCCTGGGCCCAAGATTTTACACCTATCAGCCACTCACTCACTGGGCAGTCCAATGGACACCCCAGATTCAGTCTATCCACAACCCATCTTGGTTAATGGCACCTCATCTCTCCATGTTCAGGATAAAAGCCTCGCCCGGGAAACCTCTCTTTCGCTCACACCCACAGCCAGTCCATCTCGACATCCTGTTGTCTCTGGACTTTGAAACAGAGCCATTCTCTCCATAACCCCCCGAACTCTTTTGACATGGCCCACTTCGTGCCAATTAGGAACAAAAAGTCCTATGTCACAGATGCTTTACTTTCCCCTGCAGAAATATATTAGAAGGGACATAAAAGCATGGGTGCAATGTACACAACCATAAAGGCAGCCCTTTCCGCAAATATGAATGGACGAAAGGAGTGGGTGGGTGGGTGGGTGGGTGAATGAAAAGGAAGAAATTATGAATGCAAACATAAATGGACGAAAGGAGTGGGTGAATGGGTGGGATTTCCGGGGTGAGTAATCAGAATCAGCAGTGTTGAGATTCGACCTAATCCCCTCCCTCCCAACACAGGGCCCAGTACCCCAAGGTCCAATACTTGCATGCGGGGTCCCTGGTGTGTGTTCTGGAAGCAGCGGCCCACCGTGCCTACCACCTGCGGGAAGGAGCATGTGAGGATGGTCGCCCCCCACCCCGCCCCCTTTCGCCCTCCCCCCGCGGGCCTCCCCTCCAGGCTTGGACCGAACCTTCACCAACATGGAGGTCTTCAGGAGGTGATGTCCACTAATGCCCTGGTCAAAGCAAGACCTTTTATCACTGAGCGTAACCTGGGATGGGGGATAGAAATGAAAGCGTCAAGAGACCTGCCCGAGGATCCGGGGGGGGGGGGGGGTGCCTTCTAACGGTCCCGACCCAGGTAGCTCCGCCTCCCACCTCGGCACCCCCTCTCCGCTTTATCTCACCCAGAAAAGCACCGAGTTGCGATTAGTGAGCACCTCCTCCTTCACCACCGCCTCCAGGCAGCCCGGGTCCGCCAGCACCACTCCCAGATCCACTTTGCTGCCCAGGTCTACAGCGGCGAGCACTACAAGCGCAGGAGGGGTCAGGGCCTCGGCCGGGGACGCTCCCCCCGCTCCCCAGACCCCGCCCCCGGGCCCCTCGGCCCGCCCCTCGGGCTCCAGGCCGGCCTCGCCCACAGACCGCGCTCCTGTAAGTTGATCGAGTGGCCCCGGACGGTCAAGAAGACGGAGAAGCTGTAGCTGGTGCCCTTGTCCAGGAAGATGCGCTCGGGCAGCTCGTGCTTGGCCTTGAGGTCGTAGATCTTCTCGTAGCTGGCCATGTCAATGTACACGTTGCTCGCGCTCTGCAAGTTGCTGGCCAGATAGAAGTAGTAATCCTGGGGGACGGATGCGGGGCAGCGTCGGACCCCCGGCGGGGACGCCGCCGCTCTCCCGACCCCCAACCCTCTCCACGCACCTGGTTCAGTTTCTTGTTCTTCCACCAGCGCCAGGTGGAGTCGTGCACCGGGTCCGCGTAAGGCTGGGGGACGCCGGCAGGGTGAGTGGGGGGTGCGGAGGCGGCCCGGCCGGTGGCATGCCCAGCCCCTAACCCCAAGCCAAAGCCAACAGACCCTGGCCCGCCCCCAAGCCCCACTCACCACTCCCGCTCAACCACCCTCGCAAAGCCGCGTCTCCGAAGCCCTGCTCGCCGCGCCCCCAGCCCCCCTCTGCCGCGACTCTCCCAGGCGAGCTCCGCCGCGCTGCAGCCTCTACCCGCGCCGTGGAGGCCCGCGGGCCTTGCCTGCTGGGCCTCCTCAGTCCCCTCTCCCATCAGAGCCGCCCCGGGCGCCCACCTTGAGGTACTTGGAGTGCAGACAAAGCAGATGGTAGATGAGGCCCTGGTAGACGGCGAGCGAGTTCTCGTCGTGGAAGCCCGAGGGCTCCAGCACGCGCGGCGGGCGCGCCTGGTAGCGCTCCTGGCGGGTGTAGACCTGCGGGTTGGGCAGGTCCCGCAGGCGTATCACCGTGAAGGGGCAGAAGTTGGTGAACGGGAGCGTCAGTTGGTTCCTGGGGGGAAGGGGGGCTCTGACTCTAACGCCCCAGGCGCACCCCCACCCCCACCCCCAGGCCTTCCTCCCAACCTCTGCGCTGCTGCCTAGTCCAGTCTAATCCAGCCCTGACCTGTGGCCTCAGCCCCTGGTGCCCCCGGACAATTCCTCTGGAGTCCCTGGGTCCGTCAGACCAGAGCTGGGGACCCCACCCTAGGCCCCGCCCCCCACCAACCTCTTCCACCTCCGCTTTCTCTCGGCTGCCTCCTCTCCTCTCCCGCCTGCCTCCTCTCCCAGGCCCTTCTGCAGGTCACCAGAAGGAGCGTTACTGCAGTAAAGTCAGGCCGTGCCGTCCGCGCCGTCCCTCCCTCAGTACATCAGGGCTCCCCAGGAGGCAAGATGAGGCCCGGCTTCCTCCCTGCGATCACCAGGCTCGCCTGTGCACGCTGCCACGAGCAGCGAGCAGCGCGCTCTGCGGCTGTCCTTTTCACTTTTCTCGCAGTCTTGAACACCCATCTGCTTTCCTCCCCAAGGCCTGGGCACCTGTGGCTCGCCCACCCCCACCCCCTCACCCCCTCCCGGAACCCCTTCTCCATCTTACCACCTGGCTAATTCTTCTTCCCCCTTCAGCTCACAGCTCATGCCTCTCTTCCTCTCTGAAGTTCTCCCGGAGGCACCCACCTCCCCCAGTGTCCACCAGGCCCCTCCCTTGAGCTTCCATGAGCTTCCATCACAGCCCTGAGGTGGTCACTGGGGATGCCTTGATCTCCCTCTCGGAGTAGGGGCTTTCGTCCTCGCAGCCCCAGAAACCCCGGCTACTGGTGTGGCCCAGCATCTTCTCACCCCTGCTGATGCAAGAGGTAGTGATCGCTGAGCTGGTGGTACATCAGGAGCTCCTCCACCGGCATAAGCCTCTTGACAAGCCGGCCCTTCTGGTTGTTCATAAGGTACACCAGCTGCGGTGGGAAGGCAGGGCCAGGTCAGCCGGCCACCCTGTGGTTCCCTGGTGTCTTCCGTGACCCCCCCCCCCAGCCCTGCACCTGGTATAGTTTGCTGTCTTCGTAGAAGAGGGTGACCATGGTTTCATTGGAGGTGTACAGAGAGGACTGGTGCATCATCTGTAGGTTGATGTACATCCCCCAGCCTTTGGATGGGAAGAGCTTGTACATCCGGTAGCTGTCCTCCAGGAGGTACCAGATCTGCAGGTGTGACAGCGGGAGTGTGTGTGTGACCCCACGTCTCCCTCTGTGTGGAGCTGTGTGGAGGATGGCCCAGTACCTTGGGGGTGAGGCTCGAGGTGGGTGGTCCCCAGCCGGGACCAGGTGAGCTCACACACCTACTTCCCAGAGCCCGCCCGCCTCTGCTTCCAGCCCCCATTCGCCATGATAAACATCTTCAGGGTTTCAGTCAGTTTGAGTGGCTATTACTTGAACTGAAGCATCCCTAATACATACACCCCTCCAGGCCAGGATTCCCAGGAGTGCACCCTATTTTCTCCTCACTCTTTGCATCCACCAGGATCTCACCATCCCCTTGGTCTCAGTTTCCCATCTCTGCACTGATGCCCACCCCACAACACATTTGACTCAAGACCTCATCCCCTTCTGAGACTCAGCCTGGAAGAGCTTTCCAGCCTTCAGGATGTCCCTCCTCCATGCAGCCTCCTCTATGAAGCCCTCCCTGGTACACATACACACCCAGACTGAACAGGAAGTTCAACTGCATGCCCTTTCTGAACTTCTATAGGTACTATCTCCCCCCCTCCACCCCGCAGCCCTGACTACTCTGAACTATCACTTCCTGGGAAAGACTCGGTCTTCCCAGTTGGACTGTGGCCCTGTGAGGGTGAGGTCCAGAGCTGACTCAGTCACCAGTGTATCCCCAGCATGGGGTCAGGTATACAGTAAGTGCTCAATGTTTATGAAGTGAACCACAGGACGGAATGAAAGAGGGCCCCCTGTGGAAATCAGATCAGGACTCTCACTCTGCCAAAAGACTGGGGACAAATAAACTTCTGAGTTCCAGGGTGCTACGCTATAAATGGAGCTTCTGTTGCCCTCCTCTGGGATCTTTGAGGATGTTTCCTCCCCTGAACCCTTTTACCCTGACAGGGGGAGAAGGGAGACCCCTGGGGTTTGGGGAGAGAAGCAGGGCAGCCTACCTCTTCAGTCTCTGTGACAATAGCCATGTCCCCATGGAATGAGTTGACCAGGTACTTAATGGACTCCTCCTTGGGGAAATCCGCCAGGTAGATGAAATTTTCATAGTTGTAGCTGCACGGGCAGAAATGGGAGCTAGGGACCCCCAGGCGAGGTCCCCGCAGGATATCCGCTTCCCCCAACTCCGGGCCTAACATATCCCAAGACCCCTAACATGACCCATTTACTCAGTTCTCTGCTAACCCTGTGAGAACACACAGGAAAGCCTGGGTGACCTGCCCACCTGTAGACAGGAGCATGTGGCCAACCTAGAACTTTGCCAACAGCCCCCGGAGCCAGCTAAGCTCCTGAGGAGTGCAGAGTGTCCTAACCTTTCCCCGCTGACGATGCCCTTTGCATAAGTTGGTTCCTTACATAGGGTTTCATTGAAATGTCAGCTTCCCCATCCCAGCCCTGACCACCTCAGCCCACTTTTCCCCCATCACAGTTCTGATAACTTCTGGACTTGCGCATGCTCTCAAAACCTGAGGACTCCAGAAAGGGCCCCCACCCTGATGGGACCAGCAGCAGAATATATAGGCCCAGCCCCACACCTCTGCAGGAGGAAGTTGCCCCAGATGAGCAGCAGGTTTTTATACGGGTTGTAGAACATGCCCTTGGGTACCATTGGGAAGTTGGTATAAGACTCTGTTCCTAGGATCATCAGAAACTCCAGGCCACGAGCTGGTTGGGAAAGAGGCAAAGTGGACACAGAAGTGAGGGAAGGGTCACCTGGACCCCTCTTGGCCCTCATCCACCTTTGAGACCCCCCCTGCTTTCCCTACCTACCATCAGGGATGAATTCCGGGATGGTGTAGAGGATGACCAGGTTATCACGGACTACAGCCGGGGAGAACACAGCAAAATCTTCTGAGGCTCTGAGCTTTCAAAATCTGAAACTGGGCAAGTCACCAGCTTCCCAAACCCTCCAAAAAACCCTCCAGTGGTTTCTGATTTGGGCCTATTAGCCCTTAGAGTTTCTTTATGGGAATATGTTAGAGCACACAACTTCCTCCTCTGACTTCTTGGCTAGTGAGTACAGTGCACGGTCTATACAACTGTACAGGGCAGCCCTATTCTCTGTTCAGACAAAATAATAAAATAAATAAAATAAAATAAAATAATAAAATAAAAGAAACCTCCTTATTGTGAGCCACAAGGCCCTTCCAGATTTGGCTTCTGCTCACCTCTTCAATCTCCCTCCCACCATATTTTCCCTCTGTTCCAGTCATATTTGTTTCTCCTGTTTCTTCGTCCCACCAAGCCCATTCTCCACCACTACCCCTTACCCAAGAGTGATGTGAGCAACATTTCCCTCCCACTGTCTGCTGAGCACAGACCCCGCAGACAGGCACAAAGTTCACAATCCTGCCCCTTCCCACTCAGCCCCCACAGCATCCCAATTACCCAGGTCGTAGCTGACCACCTGGAAATAGTTCCTGGTGGTGGAGGCTTCGATCTCCACCAGCATCAGTAGATTGTAGTCATCAGCAATGAATACGGCCCAGGTTATGGAGCAGCTAACAACTGGACAGGAAGGAGGAGGCCCAGAACAGTGCTGGACCCACCCTCCCCATGGTCTCTTGTAACTGTCACACCTATCCCTGTGACTCTCCACCCCTCCCCAGACACTACTGTTCCTTCCCATGACCTCTCTCACCCTTCCCTGCTCTCCCACACCTTTGATCCTCCCACCTGCCCACCACAGATCCCTCTGGGAGCTAGGTACCTTCTATCCCTTCGCACACAGACCGCTGCTTGGGCAGCAACTGGAAGGACACATGGCCATCTGCGAAGCAGAGCAGGTCCGTGCTCAGACCCTTCCCAGCCCGTCTGGTATCCACTAGGTCTCCGATGGACCAGGATGTGGTACCTCCTGCCCCCTTAGTGGTGGGACTTCAGGGGGTGGGTCTCATCTCTGACCTGCCAGTCACTCACACCTGGCCCACCATTGTGGGCCTGTCGCTGGTCACAGTAACTGGCTCAGGTCTGGGCACTGATTCAGAATGGGCCAATCAAAGTACACCCTAGGTTCATGCTAGAGCTAATGGAAGAGGCTGCTTTCATTCTTTGGGGATGACTCAAACTGGTGGGAGATGTGAGCCCCAAGGTCCTGGGACCATCTTCAACCCCTAGAGAGGAGTCTCTACCTGAAAATGAAGCCAAATCTCAGGGCTCATGATAATAAGCCCTTTTACAGCACCCACCATGCCCCTAGCACTGTTCTAGGACCTTTACACATGCCGACTTAATCTTTATATCAACCCAGTGAGGCAGGTACTAGTATCGTCATTAGCCCCATTTTGCAAATGAGGAAAACGAGACCAAAAAGAGAGGTTAAGTCCAAAGCCACAGGTGACTTGGGTTAGGTGTGTTCAAGCGATCTCTCTCTGCTATAATCACAATGCACTACCTTGCCAAGAGATAGAGTCCTGTTGATATACCCGTGGGCCCCTGGATCCAGCCATGCCTGAAGTTAGATTCTGGTCTTCTTATTTATATAAGCCCTTTATACAAATATACCTAAATTATTTTTTAATTGGGCTTCTTCCCTTTGAAACAAAACACATCATGAAATATATATATAACACACTCAAGTCCTACTCCTATAAATGCATAAACCCATCCCCACTCACAAGGACAACCTCCAGCTTGGGACCCCACTTGAAGGTACCTGGTGAGGGATGAGGGCCAGAAGTTGGAATTCTTGGAGGTGTGAGGGTATGGAGTGGTCTCTTGGGCTGCCAAAGGCCTCCCACCCTTACCTGTGATGGTCCCAAAGTGAACATAGCCTTCCCGCTTGCCAGTGGTGAGGGCCATGATGTACTCTGAGCCATTGCTATGAAAATGTACAGGGCACAGCCTCTTGATGCACTCGTTGGCCAGGACACGAACCCAGCTCCCTGTGGGGGCCAGGATGGAACCTGAGACCCAGACCTGGGACCTGACCCCCATCCATAGTTCCATGACCTTAATGGCTATTCAGTGTGATGTCTGGGGGGCCACTAGCATAGGGCCCAGCTGCCTTTGAGGAAAATCTCCTTTGCTCTTACTCTGTCCATGAGGTACAGATTGTATTCCCCCAGCCAGAGCAATGGGTTCAACTGAGCATAAGACCAAGCTGAACCAATCAGAGACAGTCCCAGCTTGCAACTACTAATGAAGAGATGCTCTTACCTGGGGCCCCTTGGGAGGATAAAAGTCTGCAATCGCTAGGTGAAGAGGGGAATCACCATGGCTATCCCAAGGAGGGGCCTGTCTAAGCTCCAATGAGCCCCTAGATCCAACTGCTCCTGGGTTTTTCACCTATCTAAGCCAATAAACACCCTTTTCTTTGACTTAAGTCCATTTTGATTTGGTTCCTCCTATTGTCAAATGTCCCAAGCAAGAAAGAGATAAAAACGAAGCTGTCAGGAACAGGCCTTAATAAAATATAGGTTATAATACGTGTTTCTATGACCCTATAAAATGACATCTCTCATTTAGATGTGGGGGTGAGACTCAGGAGGGTTTGGGTGGCATTTAAAAGATAAGGCTGAATCAAAAGTCTCTTCTTCCTCTCCGACCAGTCTCCTTTGTGCCTTTTCGTCTCCAACTGCTCATCCCACTTTCTCTCGGTCTGCCTTTCTCTCTGACTCTCCATGCCACTCTCCCACCCCCTAAATTTCTCTTTTGCTATTATTCACGTCTCTTAGCAGGTCTTTCTCTGTCTGACACTGTGTATGTGTGCGAGCACATACATGCACACATGCGTGCACGCGTGCCTTTCTCTTTCTGCTCCCTCCCTTCCCTCTCACGCCCCCCTCTCCCGTCTGCTGGTTCATAGGTCCAGAGGAAAGCCTCGCCCCCACATACAGAGGGTAGGAGAAGGCCATGAAGGGTGGGTGGTGATGATTAAGGACCTTGGAAAGTCCTTCCGACACCTCCCTCCCCACTCATGGAAATTCCAGGGCTTCGGTGGATGGGTTCACGGGGGTGCCCTCCCTGGGGCTCCCACAGGCAGGACCCACCCCTCCCCCCGAGATGCCAGGGGCCCCTCACCACTGCCGTGGTTGCTCTCGTGGAGGGTAATATAGGTGCCTGTAAAATAGTAGACAAGCTGGTTCTGCCGAATGAAGAGAGTGCTCTCCATAGCAATGGCATCATAGATGGTGGCAGTAAAACTGGCCTGAGGGCAGTAGAAGGAGCCGACCCAGCAACTGTCAATGTTCAACTGCAGGGAGGCAGAGTCCACAGTGAGCAGGTTCACTTTGGCTTCAGCCCCCACATGCCACCTTGTGGGGAGGCACCTGCTCTGACGACTGCTTGGACACAGGCAGCCACCCCCAGGGCACCCTCCCCTCTCACCGTGAAGTAGTATTGTGTGGCCACACTTCCCCAATATGGGCCAGGGAAGCAGATGACCCAAGCCAGAGCCAGTTAGGACTTTGTGTGCTCCTGAGAGCTTGGCAATGCACAGCATACTCAACAGTGCAGAGCAATCTTGATTCCCCAGGCCACAGACAGATCCCAAAGATCTCATGCTTGGCCCAAGGCACATTTTTAAAAAATATTTTATTTGTTTGTTTGAGAGAGAGAGAGAGACAGCAGAGAGCACAAGCAGGGAAGGGGGGCAGAAGAGGAGCAGAGGGAGAGAGAGAAGCAGACTCCCCACTGAGCAGGGATCCTGATGCAGGGCTTGATCCCAGGACCCCAGGATCATGACCTGAGCTGAAGACAGAGGCTTAGTGGACTGAGCCACCCCAGCACCCCCCATGGCACATTTTTAACAACCCTATTTGACCTTGAACACAACTGGCTATCAGGCTGACCCCATCTGATCTCACTAACTAATCACTAACACTGGTGATATCATAGACTAAAGGTGGGAGAGCACCATTAATGAAGGATTCTTGCCTAAAAATATCTACATTTAATCAAGCTTCTTGAGTTCAGTACCAGTTTATAGGCAATAACTCTATGGGGTACTATGCACCAAATTGTGTCCCCACTCCCAATATATATGTTGAATCCCTAACCCTGCCCTTAAGGAGATAATTAAGGTCCACTGAAGTCATAAGGATGGGCCCCTAATCCTACTGGACTGGTGTCCTCATGAGAAGAGGAAGAGACACCAAAGGATCTCTTTCTCCACTTGCAGGCACAGAGAAAAGGCTGTGTGAGCACACGGCGAGAAGGCACTTGTAAGCAGAGGAGAGGCCTCCCCAGAAACCAACCCTCCTGACACCTAGATCTTGGACTTCCAGCCTGCAGGACTGTAAGACTATAATTTTTTTTTCATCCACATTGTCTGTGGTATTTTACTATGGCAGCCTGAGCAGCCTATTACCATAGGATCAGAGGAACAAGTTAATTCCATGAAGAAGCAAGCAGCAAAATTCTAGAAGACAAAAGACCTGGTTTCTCCATTTGACTGAAGAAAGCTGATAGAAGAAGGGAAGAAGGTGGAGTCAAGAGCAGACTTACAGGTGAAGAGAGTGAGTATTTTTTTTAAGAATTGTTTTTTAAAGATTTTGTTTATTCACGAGAGATACACAGAGAGAGAGGCAGAGACATAGTCAGATGTCAGAGAAGCAGGCTCCACTCAGGGAGCCGGATGTGGGACTCGATCCCGGGACTCCAGGATCACCCCCTGGGCCAAACAAAGGCAGAGGCTCAACCACTGAGCCACCAAGGCATCTAGAGACTTTACCAAACGCAATGTTAATCCTGATTCAAACCAACTTGAAAAGGCAAGTTTAGAAGACACACAATGGCCAACAGACACATGAAAAGATGCTCAACATCACTCATCATCAGGGAAATGCAAATCAAAACCTCCTAGGAGCTATCACATCATACCAGTCGGAGTCACTAAAATCAACAACACAAGAAACAAGTGTTGGGGAGAATGTGGAGGAAAAAAGTACCCTCAGGGGCACCTGACTGGCTCAGTCAGTAGAGCATGTGACGCTTGATCTCAGGGTTGTGAGTTAGAACCCCACACTGGGTGTAGATATTGCTTACAAATAAAATTTTAAAAAAGGAAAGGAACCCTCTTGCTGTGTTGGTGGGAATGTACACTAGTGTGGGCAGTTATGGAAAACAGTATGGAGGATCCTCAAAAAATTAAAAGTGGAATTACCATATGATCCAGTAATTTCACTCCTGGGTATTTCCCCCAAAGAACATGAAAACACTAATTTGAAAAGATATAGGCAACCCTATGTTTACTGTAGCATTATTTACAATAGCCAAGATACGGAAGCAACCCAAGCGTCCACCAACTGATGAATGGATAAGGAAGATGTGGTATGCACAACCAATGGACTATGACTCAGCCATAAAAAATGAGATCTTGCCATTTGTGACAACATGGATGGACCTAGAGGGTGTTAAGCTAAGCGAGATAAGTCAGACAGAAAAGGACAAACACCATATGATCTTCCTGATATGTGGACTCTTTAAAAAAACAAAGCAAATGAGGAAACAAACAAAAAGCAGAATCAGACCCATAAATAGAACAAACTGATGGTGGTCAGAGGGGAAGATGGGAGGATACACAAAATGGGTGAAGGGGAGTGGGCGATACAGGCTTCTGGTTAGGGAATGACTAAGTCGTGGGGATAAAAGGCACAGCACAGGGAACATAGTGAGGGGTACTGTAACAGTGATGTGCGCTGACAGGCGGTAGCTACACTTGGGGGGAGCACAGCGCTACGTATAAACTTCTCCAATCACGATGTCGTACCCCCGATACTAATGTAACATTGTGTGTTGACTCTATTCAAATAAAAAATATATTTTCGGGACATCTGGGTGGGTCAGTTGTCTGCCTTTGGCTCAGGTTGTGATCCCGGGGCCCTGGGATCAAGTCCTGCATTAGGCTTCCTGCAGGGGGCCTGCTTCTCCCTCTGCCTACGTCTCTGCCTCTGTGTCTTTCATGAATAAATAAAATCTTTAAAAATGTATTTTTTCTAATTTATTTATGACAGTCACACACACACACACACACACACAGAGAGAGAGAGAGAGAGAGAGAGAGAGAGAGAGGCAGAGACATAGGCAGAGGGAGAAGCAGGCTCCATGCACCGGGAGCCCGACGTGGGATTCGATCCCGGGCCTCCAGGATCGCGCCCTGGGCCAAAGGCAGGCGCCAAACCGCCGCGCCACCCAGGGATCCCCTAAAAATGTATTTTAAAGACATTTTTAGACAATTGGGGTAAACTGGCCCTGTTAGATGGTATGAAAGGCTTCTAGCTAATTTTGCTGGGTGTATCACAGTGCCATTGTGCTTTTGTTTTTGTCAAGTACTCATTCTGTGTCCAGCTGATGTGAACTTATATACCACACTCACGATGATTCTAGCAGGTGAATATAAAGATTATTCACACTTTACAGATGGGGAATCTGAGGCCCGGGTAGGTGAAATGACTTGGCCTAGGGTCACATAGCCAGGTGGTGGCCGAACCCGGATCTGAAGCCAGAGCGTCTCCTCCTCCTGCCATCTGTCCCTGGAGGGAGCTGCTTTGTCTTTAGGGACTCTTTCCATGGCCCCAGGCCCCAGTATTTTAGGGGGTGGGGCGCAGTACCGTACAAGAGGCGCCAGCACACTGCCTGCGGTCCCGCTCACCTCCACGAGAAAGAAGTCCCTGAAGCTGGTGTCAGTAAGCAGGATGAACTTCTCATCGGAAATGCCGCCCAGGATGAGCACAGGTGCCTGGTCCACAGTGTGCCACAGGGGCCTCGATGGCACATTCACGAAGTACCGGGGTATCAGATTGAAGATCTGCCGGGGGGGGGGGGGGGGATGGAGGGGCTGGCCAGAGGGCTGCTCACTGCTCCCCCCACCCTCCCATGGCTCCATCTCATTTAGGGTAAAAACCAAAGTCCTCGCCTCTGACCTGGAAGGCTACATATAATTTGTCCCTGTCACCTCTCTGACCCCATGTGCCATCGCTCCCCCCACCCCCCAGCTCACTCTCTCCCAGCCATGTGGGCCTCCTCACTGCTTCCCAGACTCACCGGGCACAGTCCCACCTGTGAGGCTTGGCACTGGCTGTTCCCCGTGTATGAAATGCTCTTCCCCAAGTACCCAACGTGCTTCCCTCCTCTCCGACTCCAGGACACGACTCAAATGGCCACCTTCTCAGGCCTTTCCTGACCCTTCCATCGACTATGCAATCCTTTCCCTGCCCAGGCCGGAGCCCCTTCACTCTGCACTCTCTGCAGAGCACTTGCCACCTTTTCACCTACTCTGGAATCCCCTTGACATCGTGTATACAGTGTGCCGTCTGTCTGTCAGCTCTGTCCGTGTGTCCCTGGTATGCCCTCCACACCGTGGGCTCAGTAAGTACCCGTTGAATGAATGAATGCACCGCACCCACTGAATGTGCAAGAGTCAGGTAGACGCAGTTTCAAGTCCCTTTCTCTATGTACATGCTGGGAGACTGTGGGCAAATGGCTCCGTCCTTTTAGGGCCTCAGTGTTCTCCTCCCGCAAATGGGTTTGTGAGAGTACGTTCCCTCACGGAGTCCCTATAAAGCCTGAACGTGACCACATATTTAGGGGAGCACCTCACCTGGGCCTGGCACAAAGCAAGCCCTCTGTAAGGTCTGCCACTTGTTTGGGAAATAACTGGGGCCCTGGCCCACCATCTTTCACCCACATTTTCTTTTCTCTTTTTTCTCTTTTAAAGATTTATTTATTCATGAGAGACACAAAGAGAGAGGCAGAGACACAGGCAGAGAGAAGTAGGCTCCACATAGGGAGCCCGATGCGGGACTCGATCCCAGGACTCCAGGACCACGCCTTGGGCCAAAGGCAGGCGCTAAACTGCTGAGCCATCCAGGGATCCCCTCACCTTCATTTTCTACCTTGTTTCTCTCCTGTCTGGGCCCCTCACCTCATTTCCCACGGTGAACTGCAGTGTCTCGTCCTGCTGTCTCTGCAAGAAGCCGTTGATGTTTACCTGAAACCTGGCAGAAGGTGTGGGCAAGCACAGGTGAGGGTGCCCGTTTCCGGGGCTCCTGCCCATAGCTCATGACCACGCCCCCCACCGGCTTCTCTCCCTTGGGTCTCCTCCTGGCTTCTCTGGGGATCTGGAGATTAGGAAGGCCTTCCCGGAGTCCACCCCCCATCCCAGGCTTGGGAAAAGGCACCTTTTATCGTGAATGAAGGGCCCCAGACCATTGCTGCTGACATCCACACGCATGACCACGCTGCCGTTCTTGATGGGCATGGGCGTGTACCAGCTCATGACACACACCTCCTCTGCGATGCACTCATCTACCGTAGGCGGCGGGCACTCAGGCTGCCAGGGTCTCCCAGTGGTGCCCCCCAGGCCACAGTCCCCCTGGGATCTCCCTGCAACGCCCCACGTCCCTCCCCCAGGCCGTGGACCCCACTGGGGCCCCCTGCACGCTCCCCACACCCTCGCCAGGCCATGACCCCTCCACGTGTGCCCCAGGCCCACCTTTGCTGCGGAAGGGGGCTGCCTCCATCTGGATCTGCAGCTGCTCTATCTTCCAGCGACGGAAGTTGACTGGGGACTGGAAGGTCACCAGCACCACGGGCTTCAGCCCCGTCAGGTGGCCCTTGCGGACCTGGGCCTCGGAGAACTGAAGGCAAGATGACCCCCCCAAGGGGTATGTACATAAGAGAGGTGCCGGTCCCCCTGCCCTGAGCCCCCCTTTGGCAGTCCAGCCTCTTGGACACCTTGCGAGAGAACAGTGGTCTGGCCTCAGGGCTGGGGCAGGCCAGGCCAGGCTGGGAGACAGGCAGGGGGTGGAGGGGCGGGGGGTGGTGAGAGGGGTCGCAGAAGGAGGTGAGGCTGGAGCCCTCTTCCACACCACAGGCAGTCTCCTTTTCAAAAACATGTGTCTCCCTAAGAGGAATTCAGATGCCATCCACTAATATATACTTTTTAAAAATCCCATATCATGTTTAAGGTACTAATACCTTGCTAATTTTGAAGTTACTTGTTGGGCAACCTTAATACAAACCATTAAGTAAGCAGAAATGGTCCCTGGGAAGCCAAAATCACCATTTTGGGCAATTTGTCTTCAGGCAAGACTTGGATGTAGGGAAGGCACTGGAAATGGGGTGAGCCAAAGTGGGAATGTGGCACTCAGAGCTGCTAGTGGCCTCGTCCCTCACTTCATGGCTCCCAGGTCCATGAAGGAGTAGCAGAGAGTCCAGAAATCTGACTCTCTGCTACCCCTGTCAGTCCCAGGATTTGGAGCTGGAGCCTGTGGGCGAGGGTGGGAGGGGGCAGTTATACACAGAAAGGAACAGGGAAGGTGCAAGAGAAGACAGCTGGCGGGGGGCAGGGGTGGGTAGCGGGGGATTGCCGGCCTCCCAGAAATGCCAGGACCCAGGCTGGGTGGAGACAGGCACGCGGGCTTACAGTGGAGATGAAAGGAGGGAAGGATGGGCAGCCCCGGTGGCTCAGCGGTTTAGCGCCGCCTGCAGCCCAGGGCGTGATCCTGGTGACCCTGGATCGAGTCCCATGTCAGGCTCTTTGTATGATGCCTGCTTCACCCTCTGCCTGTGTCTCTGCCTCTCTCTCTCTGTGTCTATCATGAATACATAAATAAAATCTTAAAAAGAAAGGAAGGAAGGAAGGAAGGAAGGAAGGAAGGAAGGAAGGAAGGAAGGAAGGAAGGAAGGAGAAGGGTGGGCCAGCTGTATGCAACAGCATAAGCAAAGGCTCGGAGGCATCCTCAAGAGAAGGCAGCACTCAAGCCACTGTGGGTTGGGGGTAGGTTGTGAGACCAGGGACTGAGATTTAAGGGGTCTGATCAGAGGCACCTGCGTGACTCAGGTGGAGTGTCTGCCTTCAGCTCGAGTCATGATCCTGGGGTCATGTGTTTGGGCTCCACACAGGGTTCCCAACAGCAGGGAGTCTGCTTCTCCCTTCCCCGACTGGCTCATGCTCTTTCCCTCTCAAATTAATAAATAAAATATTTTAAAAGATTTTATTTATTTATTGGTGAGAGACACAGAGAGAGGCAGAGACACAGGCAGAGAGAGAAGCAGAATCCATGCAGGGAGCCCGATGTGGGACTCGATCCCAGAACTCAGGGATCACACCCTAAGCCTAAGGCAGACACTCAACCGCTGAACCACCCCGGTGTCCCAATAAATAAAACCTTAAAAAATAATAATAATGAGTCAGATCACCTTTGCATAGGCCTTTATCACCTCAGCCATGGCACTTTCAACCCTGCCAACTACACCAATTTTAATTTCAACCCTACCTCTGGATCTTTCTTTTTTTTTTTTTTTTTTTTAAGTAGGCTCCACATCCAGTATGGAGCCCAACACAAGGTTTGAACTCATGACCCTGAGATCAAGACCTGAGCTGAGATCAAAAGTTGGATGTTTAACTGACTGGACCACCCAGGAACCCTGTGGATTTTTCAACCACAGGGCAGCGGGCACCAGTGAGGTAGGGCTCTCCCATAGGGGCGACAGTGGCCCTGGTCCTGTCCACCCCCAACTCCTGCCTAGACCACGTGACTGCCTCCTCACAGTCTCCCTGCCCCCACCCTGCCCCCTACACAGCAGGTGGGAGCCTGGGAACACCTGGGTCAGAATCTCCCCGTGGCTCCATCCAGTCAGGGCAGAGACTGAGTCCTCACCCTGGTTCCTGAGCCCTCCTCACCTCCCTGCCCCATCTCCTCCCACTGTGCCCTCACTTATGCCTCCTCACACACGGTAGCTTCTGTCCTACTCCAGGACCATCGCACTAGCCTCAGCTTTGGCCTAGGGTGCCTTCCCCATCTCCTCAGTTCCCTTTTATCACTCAGGTTTCTGCTCAACCCTCTTCTGAGACTGCCCCCAAACATGCCGTAACACCTTCCTTTCTAATATATCACATTTTATTTTCTTCTTTGCACTAATCATTCTTCAGAAATGATTTTATGTATTTACTTGATAGCTGATAGCTTCCCTGTTGGTCTGAATCCATAAGAAAAACCTAGCCATGCTGTTAATCATTAAATCCCCCATGTTGTAAGCAAATAATCAAAAAGGATCTAACTCACTGTAGGTGTTGAATGTCCAGATAAAGATATTATTATCATACTTTTGCAGATAAGGAGAGAAGGTTCTTGGAGCAAAACTCTCTGCCCAGGGTGACACTCAACACTTATTGCTAGCATTCTTGAGCTCTTTCTATGAACCAGTCACTGTGCTAAGTGCTTCACACATGTTTAATCGTTTTGTGAAGTGGGTATGATGATTATTGAATCCTCGTTAAGGCTGAGGAAGCTTTAATGCAGAAAAGTTAAGTAATTTGCCGGAGATCATAATTACTGTGTAGCAGAGCTGGGATTTGAACCCAGGCAGCCTAGCTCCAGAGCCCAAAGTATCAACTATCATGCTCTGGTACACTTCCTCCAAGTAAATGTCAGTCAGTGGCAGATTCAAACCTAGGTCTGTTGCTTCCAGAACTTCAGTTTTAGACCACAACATCCTACTGTCCTTAAAAGGCTTACTTGCGCCCAAACAACTCTGGAAAAGAACAACAAAGTTGGAGGACTCAAACTTCCTGATTCAAAAACTTACTACAAACCCACAGGAATCAAGACTATGTTATACTGACATATGGGCAAACATATATAGAGCAATGGAATAGAATTATACCTGGAAATAAACCTTTACAATATGGTCAATTGATTTCTGACAAGGGTGCCAAGACAATTCATTTATACACATGGCAGTGGGATACCTGGATATTCACTGCAAAAGCTGGACCCCTACCTCACACCACACACAAAAATTAACTCAAAATGGATCAAAGACCTAAACTTACAGCTAAAATTTAAAAACTCTTAGAAGAAAACATGGAAGTAAATCTTCATGGCCTAAACAATACCAAAAGCATAAGCAACAAAAGAAAAAAAATGATAAATTAGACTCTATTAAGATTAAAAACTTTGGTGCTATTTTACGGTCTATGAATTACACCTCAATAAACATAAAACCTTTGTGCTTTAAGGACACCATCAAGAAAGTAAAAAAGACGGGACACCTGAGTGGCTCAACAGTTGGGCATCTGCCTTCAGCTCAGGGCATGATCCCAGAGACCCAGGATAGAGTCTCGCATTGGACTCTCTGCATGGAGTCTGCTTCTCCCTCTGCCTGTGTCTCTGTCTCTCTCTCTGTCTGTCATGAATAAATAAATAAAATCTTAAAAAAAAAAGTGAAAAGACAAGCCTGCGACATAGAATGTGACAAAATATTTACAAATCATACATCTGACAAGGAACCAGTGTCCAGAATATATAAAGAAATTTTTACAATGCAACAGTACAAAGACAACCCAATTTGGCAAAGGATTTTTTTTTAAGATTTTATTTATTTATTCATGAGAGAAGAGACAGAGACAGAGACACAGGCAGAGGGATAAGCAGGCTCCATGCAGGGAGCCCGATGTGGGACTCGATCCCAGGATTCCAGGATCATGCCCTGGGCCGAAGGCAGGCGTCAAACCGCTGAGCCACCCAGGGATCCCAAAGGATTTGAATAAATATTTTTCCAAAGAAGATAAGTGACCAGTAAGCGTACAAAAACATGTTTAATGTCAGGAGTCTTGAGGGAAATGTAACTCAAAACCACAATAGATACCACCTTACACCCACATCTTTCGGCTGTAACCGAAAGATGAACAAATGTTGGTGAAGATGTAGAGAAACTGGAACCTTCACACATTGCTAATGGGAATAGAAAATGGTGCAGCTGCTTTGGAAAATAATCAGGCAGTTCCTCGGAGGTGAAACAGTTAACGTTTGAGCCAGCAATTCCATTTGTAAGTATTGACCTAAGAGAGCTGAAAACTTATGTCCACACAAAAACTTGTACACATATGTCTATAACAGCATTGTTCATAATAGCCAAAAAGTGGTAATAACTCAAACATCCATCAATTAATGAATAAACAAAATGTAGCACCTCCTTACACGTAAACATTATTCATCCATAAAAGAGAAACACTGATACATGTACAGCATAGGCAAGTCTTGAAAACATACCACATGAAAGAAGCCAGACACAAAAGGCTACCTATTGGACAACTCCATTTATATGAACTGTCCAGAATAAGTAAATTCATAGGAACGGAAAGTAAGTTAGTGGTCTCTAGAGGCTGAAGGAAGGGGGTACTGGGTTTCTTTTTAGGATGATCAACGTGTTGTATAATTAGAGAATGGTAATTGTTGCACAACTTCATTAATTTACTAAAAATTATTAAATTGTACACTTTATTTTTTAATTTTTTTATTTATTTATGATAGTCAGAGAGAGAGAGAGAGAGAGAGAGAGAGAGGCAGAGACACAGGCAGAGGGAGAAGCAGCCTCCATGCACCGGGAGCCCGACGTGGGATTCGATCCCGGGTCTCCAGGATCACGTCTAGGGGCCAAAGGCAGGCGCTAAACCACTGTGCCACCCAGGGATCCCAGATACACTTTAAATAGTGAATTTTATTATATGAGTTACAGCTCATTTAAAAAAAAGATTTATGTATTTGTTTTAGAGAGAAAGAGGGAGAGTGGAAGGTGAGAGGGGTAGAGGGTGAGGAAGAGAGCCCCAAGCCGACTGTGGACTGGGAGTGGAGCACAGGTGGGACTAGATCTCACGACCCCAAGATCATGTTATAAGCCGAAAACCAAGAGTCAGACATTCAACCTTCTCTGCCACCCAGGTACCCCATCTCCATTTTTTTTCCATTTTTTTAATGGCAAAAAAACAAAAAGTCCATCTTACTTGAGCACCTACTATGTGCCTGGTGGGATGCTGGGAATCTTCTTGAATCTGTAGGGTCCCCAGGGTCTGGTAGTACCACCACTATTAAAATGTTAGAGATTGGGGCACCTGGGTGGCTCAGTCGGTTAGGTGGCTGCCTTGGGCTCTGGACATGATCCTGGGGTCCTGGGATGGAGCCTGCCTCAGGTTCCCTGCTCAGCGGGGAGTCTGCTTCTCCCCCTCTGCCCCTCCCCCTGCTCATTCTCTCTCTCTCAAATAGATAAATCAAATGATTTAAATGATAAATCATTTTTTTAAAATGTTAGAGACTGGGGAAACTGAGTGCCATGCAGAATGAGCCCACCCCCGCTGCACTCACTCACCTCTCCATTGCAGGAGTAGTTGATCTTCAGGTAGTATGGGAAGCTCAGGTATTTCTGCAAGAAGAGGTTGGGCAAATGTCCAGAGCCGAGTGGGGTGCAGCTCTATGACCTGTCCCGGTCACCTGACACCAGTACCCTCACCTCATCCTGGTCGGTGGGTGCATCCACCAGCGGTCTGAACACATTGTCCACTGTCTCCAGGGGCTCTTGATTGAAGAAGCGGTCGCTCATGCCGGTCTTGCCTACCGTCTCAAACTTGTTCAGGACAACCTGCCAGGTGCACTCCTCGATATCCTCGATCGCCCACAGCCTCCACGGTACCAATAGCACCGCCAGTAGTGCCCACAGCGCCGGCAGGACTCGGGAGTTTCGGCCACGCAAGGCCATCAGGGTACATCGCGGGGCAGCACAAAACGTGGCTCGAACCTGGAGAACGCGGGGGTCAACACCGGCGAGCCAGACTGCGCGAGAGAGCCGTCTTCCGAGATCCTACCGAGTTCCTGCCCTTCGCCCAGCCCTGGCTCCTGGCTCCACCTCTGCTCAGACTTCTGGCCCCGCCCCTGCTCTTGCTCCTGGCCCCGCCCCTGCTCTTGCTCCTGGCCCCGCCCCTGCTCTTGCTCCTGGCCCCGCCCCTGCACTTGTTCCTGGACCCGCCCCGCTCTTGCTCCTGGACCCGCCCTGCTCTTGCTCCTGGACCCGCCCCTGCACTTGTTCCTGGACCCGCCCCCGCTCTTGCTCCTGGACCCGCCCCTGCACTTGCTCCTGGCTCCGCCCCCGCTCTTGCTCCTGGACCCGCCCCTGCTCTTGCTCCTGGCTCCGCTCCTGCTCCAGATTTCGCCCTTGACCAAGATGCTGCATCTGCTCCTATTCGGGACCCCACTTCTACTAATATTCCAGGTCCCTCCTCTACTGCTGCTCCTGGACATGCCCCTGCGCCTAGTTTCGCCCCGCCTCCTCTCCTCACCCCTTAACCTTGCCCTACACCTGTTCTTTGCTCCGCCTCTGCTCTGCATCCGGCTCCTACTCTTCGCCCAGCCTCGGTTTCTGTTTCTTGCTTTGGCCGTGCCCCATCTATTTTCCCCAATCCTGCTACTTTCTCTGATCGTGCACTTGCACTTGCACGTGCACCTGGTTCCGCCTCCACCCTTTGCCCCGCCCTCCCACTTCTCTTCGCATCTCCCCTTTCTCCTGGCCCGGGAGCTGCCCTGGTACCGGGTCCCGTATCTAGCCTTTCCCTTTCCTGGGTCCTGGACCGGGACCCTCTCCATGCCGCGCCCCCTTGCCTGTCCCCGCCCATGTTTCTCGGCGGGAGCTGGCTCTGCGCTCGGCTTCCCCTCCTTGCCCCGCCCCTGTTCCTGGACCCGTCCTTGTTCTTCGATCCGACCCTTAAAGACCCGTCCTTTCGCCGGGTCCCTGGAGAGCTGTTCTTCTCGAACCTGCCCCTCACCCCGCCCCTTCGTAGAACCACGTCCCTTCTCCTCAGAGGCGCCCTCATTGCCTCGGGACCTCTCCTCGCCACTGGCCTTCCCCTCGCTCCGCGCCTTCTCCCCGCCCTGCACCTTTTCCTCGTTCCACGCGGGCGCTACCTTGTCGGTCAGCGCCTGCTCGGTCCTCACCTTCCCCCCGAACCGCGACACTTTCTGACCCCCTTCTCCCTTTCCGCGACCCCTTTCCATGCCCCGGACGGACAGCTAGCGGCTCTACGCCCCGCCTCTTGGAGCCCCGCCCCTGCTCATCTCCTCGCGTCTTCGCCTCCCCGGCCGTCGCCCCGCCCTTTCTCCGCCCCTCCCCTCCTCTGCTGGGTCCCTCGACTCCTCCCCCCTTTCTCTGGCCTCTCCCCTTTTCGCCTCCGCCCCTCCCTCCCCTTTTCTCTGCCCTCCCCGCCCCCCGCATCCCTCCCTGGGGTGACCCCAGGCACCTCCCCCTTCTCCCCCGCCCCGCGGTACCAGTCGCTTAGCTGAAACCGGTCAACCGTCACTCGGCCGCTCCGGTCCCGCCCCTCTTGCCCGGTTTCAAAATGGCCGCCCACGCTTCCACCACCGACTTCCGCTTTTCCCGGTACCTCTCGCGCCGGTCTCCACGGGAACGCTCGTCCCCAAGGCGCCCGCCACTGGGCGGCGCGGTGAAGGCGCTGCTCGACCGCCTGGCGCCCGGGGCCTGGAGGACCGAGGGTGCTGGAGACCGGAGCTTGTGATAGCAAGGTCTTCAGGGGGTTCCCACGAGCTGTTCAGGCAGCCCTTACTCGTCATCTGCCCAATCGGGCTTTTTTTTTTTTTTTTTCCAATCGGGCTTTTATATAAAAAATTTTCCCGAGGGATCCCTGGGTGGCGCAGCGGTTTGGCGCCTGCCTTTGGCCCAGGGCGCGATCCTGGAGACCCGGGATCGAATCCCACGTCGGGCTCCCGGTGCATGGAGCCTGCTTCTCCCTCTGCCTGTGTCTCTGCCTCTCTCTCTCTCTCTCTCTCTCTCTCTCTGTGACTATCATAAATAAATAAAAAATTAAAAAAAATTTCCCGAGAAAACGTTTGGTCTCCTCGTGGGAATTAATCTGACAGCGGCTTACCACCCTCCTCCTATGAACCAGGGCCACAAGCAACCACCTCACAGGGTTGTGTGGAGTCTATAACACGTGAGGCGTGCCTGGCGGAAATAAATATTCAGTAGATCAATACTTTTCGTTTTTATTCTGATGCCTAACAGTTAAGGATTCAGGCCATGACTTCTTGATCAACGGCAAAGCTGACTTTACCCTACATCCGTGATTTTCAGACTTTAAGGTGCATTAGAGCTTGTTGAAACAGGTTGTTGGGCTCCACCTCCCAGAGTTTGATTCAGCAAGTCAGAGGTGGGGCCGCAGAAGCTGTATTTTGGCAAGTTTTCAGGTGATGCTGATACTGATGGTCTGGGGACCACACCTTGAGAACCAGCCTTCTGGGGGCGCCTGATGGCCCAATGGTTGAGCAGCTGCCTTTGGCTCAGGTCGTGAACCTGGGGTCCCGGGATCTAGTCCTGCACTAGGTTCCCCATAGGGAGCCTGCTTTTCCTTCTGCTGTGTCTCTGCCTCTGTGTCTCTCATGAATAAACAAATAAAATCTTTTAAAAAATAAAATTTAAAAAAGCCTTCTGTGTACCCCTAGGACCTCAGGTAAATAGCCAGTTGGTTTCCAGAGCCCTGCACAATCTCCTGCCAGTTGTCCTTCCTACCCAGCTCATCTCCTGTCTCCCTTAGACCTGCATGGTCTACAGCCCAGTCTCATGGAGGGACTTGAATATCCTTGATCAGGCTTGTTCTTTCTCCCCTCCAGGCTGTGTACATGCAGTAACACCCTTTGGAACACTACTCCTTACTTTGTCTACTTGGCTGACCACTTTCCTTACCTGGAGTTTTGTCTGTAATATACAATCGATCCCATCCCTTCCCTGAACACACTAGGCCATGACTGTTTCCCACTGAATCACAGGATCCGTGAGGACAAGGCCTAGAGCTTTCTCCATCACTGTTGTTTCTAACTCTGTCCAACACAGCACAGAAGAGGTGTTCTGTGTAAATGAACAGTTGATGGAAGTCTATGCCGGCCCACCCCAGCTGGCTCCAGCCCCACAGGTCATGGAGGAGTGACTTCATCTGAGAGAAGAAACCCACCAGCTAAGTACCTGAGCCCTTCTAGACTCATGAACAGAGTCAGAGAGACTTTGGTATCCTCGTGGCACACACACCCCCACCTCCCCTTAGGAATTCGCTCCTATCGGGATCCCTGGGTGGTGCAGTGGTTTAGCGCCTGTCTTGGCCCAGGGCGCGATCCTGGAGACCCAGGATCGAATCCCACGTCGGGCTCCCAGTGCATGGAGCCTGCTTCTCCCTCTGCCTGTGTCTCTGCCTCTCTCTCTCTCTCTGTGACTGTCATAAATAAATAAATAAATAAATAAATAAATAAATAAATAAATAAATAAAAAGGAATTCGCTCCTATCTTGATGCAAAGGTGCACCCTGCAGCATCATTTATGCCAGCAAGATTGGCAACCACCCACATGTCCATTAGTGAGATGTTGAAATAATTTGAGATGTGTGTCCTAAAGGAGGCACTGCAGACTGAAAAAAAGGATATGAAATCTATTTGTGAAAAAAAAAGAAAGAAAGAAAGAAATCTATTTGTGTGTCTCTGGAACAATCTCCTAATTATATTGGGTTGGTGATAAAAGCAAGGTCAACATGGGGTGCCTGGGTGGCTCAGTAGGTTGAGTGTCGGCCTTCAGCTTAGGTCATGATCCTGGGGTCCTGGAATTGAGCCCTGCATTGGGCTCCCTACTCTGCAGGGACCCTGTTTCTCCCTCTCCCCAATTTGTATGCTCTTTCTCCCTCTCTCTCAAATAAATACATAATTTTTTTTAAGATTTTATTTATTTATTCATGAAAGACACACACAGAGTGAGGCAGAGACATCGGCAGAGGGAGAAGCAGGCTCCATTCAGGAAGCCTGATGTGGGACTCGGTCCCGGGACTCCAGGATCATGCCCTGGGCCAAAGGCAGATGTTCAACTGCTGAGCCACCCAGGCGCCCCAAATGCATAAAATCTAAAAAAAAAAAAAAAAGCAAGGTGCAGGCAGAAATGAGAATAGTACTAGAAAAAGTATATATAAGTAGTATATCTGGGGCACCTGGGTGGCTCAGTTAGGCATCTACCTTTGGCTCAGGATGTGGTCTTGGGGTCCTGGGATCCAGTCCCACATCAGGCTCCCTGTTCAGCAGGGAGTCTATTTCTCCCTCTCCCTTTACCCCTCCCCCTGCTTGTGCTTTCTCTCGCTCAAATAAATAAATGAAATACTTTTTAAAAGTTGTATATCGGGGGGATCCCTGGGTGGCGCAGTGGTTTGGCGCCTGCCTTTGGCCCAGGGCGCGATCCTGGAGACCCGGGATCAAATCCCACGTCGGGCTCCCGGTGCATGGAGCCTGCTTCTTCCTCTGCCTGTGTCTCTGCCTTGTCTCTGCCTCTCTCTCTCTCTCTGTGTGTGACTATCATAAATAAATAATTTTTAAAAATTAAAAAAAAAGTTGTATATCGGGATCCCTGGGTGGCGCAGCGGTTTGGCGCCTGCCTTTGGCCCGGGGCGCGATCCTGGAGACCCGGGATCGAATCCCACATTGGGATCCCGGTGCATGGAGCCTGCTTCTCCCTCTGCCTGTGTCTCTGCCTCTCTCTCTCTGTGACTATCATAAGTAAATAAAAAAATAATAAAAGTTGTATATCTATGTATCTGTATATATATATCTTATATAATATGTATCTTATATATATGTTGCATATGTATATACATATATATCCTATACAACGTTCTCCCTCTTGAGGCAGCCCGGGTAGCTCAGCGGTTTAGCGCCACCTTCAGTCCAGGGCCTGATCCTTGAGACCTGGGATGAGTCCGCGTTGGGCTCCCTGCATGGAGCCTGCTTCTCCCTCTGCCTGTGTGTGTGTGTGTGTGTGTGTGTGTGTGTGTGTGTGTGTGTCTCATGAATAAATAAATAAAATCTTAAAAAAAAAAGTTCGCCCTCTGCTCATGCTGTCTCAAATAAAACCTTTTTAAAAAGTTGTATATCTGTGTATTATATATTTATTATATAATGTAAGATACATACAATATATGTATCTTCTATAATGTATAATGTGCAGAAATGAGGATAATAATTAGTCAACAAGGGCAGCCCCGATGATACAGTGGTTTAGCACCGCCTGCAGCCCCAGGTGTGATCCTGGAGTCCCGGGATCGAGTCCCACATCAGGCTTCCTGCATGGAGCCTGTTTCTCCCTCTGCCTGTGTCTCTGCCCCTCTCTCTGTGTGTCTCTCATGAAGAAATAAAATCTTTAAAAAATAATTAGTCAACAATTTATTGAGTACCAGACACTAGTCTAAGAGGTTTACAGATATTAGTTGCTAAATTCTCTAACAACTCCATGAGGTAGGTGCAGTTATCATCCCATTTTACAGATTAACAAACTTGGGCACAGGGAGGTAAAATCACTTGCCCAAAGCCAAGAGCTTGGGAGTGACAGCATTCAGATTTACACCCAGGGACTTTGCCTCTAGGGTCTGTGATTGTAACCACCTTCCCATACTCGATGCTACTCGAGCAGAATGAAGGAAAAATAAATGACACACATGCACAAACATACTGCTGTTATTTGCCCGGAAGCCCTGAGAAATTAGTCAACACAGCCTGAGTGTGGGAGAAAACTGGACTTTCCACTGACACTCTTTTGTACCTTTTGAATTTTTAGCCTGCACTCCCCCCCCCCCCCGACCCGTGACTTGAATTAAATAGGGCCTGGTTTCTTTTTCTAGTGGAATCTGGAAGAAGCAGTGAGGAGCAGAAGCCAGATCACACAGGCACCACCTGCAAGGTGAGAAGCGACCGTCTCCCCCAACCAGCTGTGAACGTTAGCAGCGAGGACAACCGTGAGGAGCCAGGAAGGCTGGGAGGCTGACGACAGAGATTTCTGAGCTCCTGTGGGACAAGGGGACCAAACAAAACTTTGCTCAGATCCCAGTTCTGCACTTCCTGCGTGACCTTGGGCAAGTTATTCAACCTCTCTGGGCCTTTCCTCAACTGTAAAATGTAGAAAGTGTACCTAATAGAGTTGCTGAGGTTAAACAAATTACACACCAAGAGCTTGGAGCCGTGCCTGGCACATAGTAAATCCTTTATAAGTGTTTTCTTATCACTGTTATCGAAACAATCTTGGGTGACTTCTTAGCATGACTTTTGACAATGGTGAATTTTCTTTAAAATTCTCTCATCCCTTACCGATTCTCCCCACCCTCTCGTTTTTCCTACTCCCCTGGAACTCTTTTTCTGTCTCCTTTATAAACTCTTCTCTCTGATATGAGGACACCAGTTGAAAGGTCACTGCCTGCAGATGGAGCCTTTATGTTAACTAGAAAAAGAAGCCCCTTTGGGTCATTTTCAGCCTTGAACTTCAGCCCCTGTGTGTTTCCACCCTGCCAGCCGGAAATCCCTTGTGTTGGTCCCGACCTACACAATTGTACATGATGACCTTGACTGCTTCATTGATCCATGTCTGCCCATTCGTCCCCTCCTGCCTTTCTAATAGAAGTCCAGTTTTGTTCACACATTCACCAGCCTCCAAACCAAAATCTCAGCCTCAGCTTCAGTTTCAGGTGGCAGGGGGAATCCTGAGGAATCCAAGTTAATCACGGTGGTTCCATCACTCTGGCCAATGATTGGTTCAGGATGGGCATGTAAACCAATTTTGGCCAATGAGATGGAGGAAGTCTTCAGGGAGGCTCTGGAGGAAAGGTTTCCTTGCTTCCAAAGAGACAATCTGGGAAGAGATGCACCCTTCTTCTTGCACTAAAAATTATCATGTCTGGTTGTGATGCCTGGATCTACAGCAGTCACTTTGGGGCCATGAGGAGAACCCATGTGGAGCCAAACCTTCAGCTGAAGGTGGCAAAACAGTGAGATTGGGAACCCCGGGCCACAAGACCCTGCTGGAGCTGTGGGTGGTCTCATGCCCAGAGCTTTCCCCAACTCTGGGGACAGGCAATATACAATCATCTCATTGTTTCAGCCAGCACTAGTCAGGATCTTGTTCCTTGCAGCCCAAATCTTACCTTAGTTTTTTTCTTTTTTAAATGTTTCAAGTTTTCATTTAAATTCTAGTCAGTTGACATGTAGTGTAATATTAGTTTCAGGAGTAGAATTTAGTGATTCATTGCTTACACAGAAAACCCCAGTGCTCATCACAAGTGTTTCCTTACTGGTATCGATATATAAATACCCTAAAGCTGACTTCCCCAGGCTGGTGTTCTCTTCCTCCCACCCAGGGCTGCCACACCTACCCGCGTGGCCTCCGTTCCCCACCTGTCGCCAGCCTCAACCACACCCTGACGCCGTGCCCTGAGTTTCCTGTGACCTTCTGACGCCTTCCTCTGAATGTCCCTTTAGCCCCTCACACCCACCATGTGCCAAACAAGCCTCAACATCTCCCCTCAAACCTGTTTTATTCTCTCAGGTTCCTAACTCAGGGGCAGCCAACCATCCTCGCTTTCTCTGGCCTTGTCCCCTCTCAAGACTGTAAGGCCTAGGGGATCCCTGGGTGGCGCAGCGGTTTGGCGCCTGCCTTTGGCCCGGGGCGCGATCCTGGAGACCCGGGATCGAATCCCACATCGGGCTCCCGGTGCATGGAGCCTGCTTCTCCCTCTGCCTGTGTCTCTGCCTCTCTCTCTCTCTCTCTGTGTGACTATCATAAATAAATAAAAAAAAATAAAATTAAAAAAAAAAAAAAAAAAAAGACTGTAAGGCCTACACAGGGCCTGTCCGCTTGGCTTCCTGAGCATGACCTCCACTGCCCCCCCTTCCCTTAACCCTGCCCAGGCCCTCAGTTTCCTGCTCTGTGGCTGTGCCAGCACGGCCCCCACTCCCCCAGTCCCCATAAACCGCACACAGCCTCAATCTCCCCACCTAGTCTACCTCCTCACAGCAGCTCAAGCCCAAACCTAACCGCAGCCCTCTCCTGCTCAGAAACTTTCCATGGCTCTCTAGGGCCCTCAAGAAAGAGGCCAAGGTCCCAACATGGTCATTTAAGGACACTGAAGATGCAACTATGTCCACCACTCCGCCCCCTCCTTCCCCCCTTCACCCCGGAGGCCAGTCACCGTAAACAACCTGTAAGAAGCTGACACTCGACATGCTTTCCTACCTCCCTATGCACACAGTACCTTGCACAGTACTTTCTGCCTGGAGGCCTCTCATGACCTTTTTTCCTGAATGTTATCCAGGCCCCCTTCAAATGCCCATCCCTTCTGTAACTCCCACCCGTCCTGGTAGAGGGAATGGTTCACCAGATGGGTGCATGGAAGCAGGTGCCATTACTGACAGCAGGTGGCAGCAGGTGCCACTTGGGGAGGAGGCAAATCTGGGGGCAGTGAAGAGAAAATCAGTCTTACGTAAAGAACCCAGAAGAGGACCTGGCTGAAGAAAGCATCGCAGAATAACGTGGCTGGCTCTGTGGCATCATCTTTGAAGTAACTACAGTTACTGTGGCCATTCTACAGACGAGGAAACTCAGAATCACAGAGGTGAAGTGACTGCCCAGGGTCAGAGGCAGGACACAGCCGAGCTGGGATCTGAGCCCAAGCAGGCTGGCTCCAGAGCCCAGTGTATGTTATGCAATTTGTCCTCGGCAAATGGGAACAGCTGTCACCATGGTGTCCCGGCTCAAAGCAGAGCCGTCGGTGCCATGCGGAACCAGGCAGGGTCCTGTCTCAGCTTCCTGCCTGCCAGGCTGCTGAGGAGGGCTCTGTTCTACAGGCCTACCCCAGGCTCTCCACACGGATCTTGCTCCATAAAGACACTTGAAGAAAACAAGTCAGGTCCACCTTCTTCCCCTGAGATATTACCCTTTCTTCTAGGAAGCCCTCCCTGACCTTGCAGGCTGGATTGGGCACAGTTCTGGAGCTTCCTCCACCTTAGCCCTGACCTCTCTGCCTGCACTTTCTCTAATACGCTGCTGACCTCTCTGCCTCCTCCACTGAAGTCCCTGCCTGTCCTGGGCTGCCACTGTGGGAGGACAGGTCTGTCTTCCTCGCTGGAATAGGAACCCATGAGAGCAGGGGCCAGGGCCATCTCAACCACTACTGTGTCCCTAGCACTGCCTGGCCTGGGGCCTGCGCAAAGGAGGGGGTTTGAGATAGTGAGTAGGTTCTTTCCATGTGACAGATGAGAAGACCAAAGCTCAGACAGGGGCAGCCACTTACCCAAAGTATAGTGACCAATCGGGTGCCCGAGATGAGGTGTGAGCCCAGAGCCTGCCTGAATGGGTGGGTGAAGAGTGGCTGAGTCAGAGAAGGGGGGTGGGGACAAGACAGTGGTGGTGCCCAGTGGAGTCTGGGACAGGGAAAATGAAGGACGGACGGCTGGTGGCAATGCCCCTCGAACCCCCCTGAACCCGGGCCTGTGCTCGAGGCCGGTCCAGTATAGCAGCACCAGTCACGTGGGCCCCTGAGCAGGCCGGGTCCAGCCAGCCTCGGAGTGCCTGCCCCAGCTACCTGGGGATAGAGGCGTAGTCAGGGTGGGAGTCAGCCGTGAGCTGCTGGTGCGGTTCTGGCTGGGGCCCCACAGCGTCCACCGGGTCATCCTCATCCTCTCTGGAGCTGGCGGGACATGGGCTGGGCAACAGGATGAGCTGTGTGAGGCCGTGCAGGTCACACACCCGGCGGAAAGTGTGCAGCACCAGCATCATGGCAACCAGGCCCAGGAAGAGGTAAGCTGCGGGGAGATGGGGGGGCGGGGGGGTGCTCAGAGCCACGGGGCCGGGCCAGGCCCCCCTGAGATGCCCAGGCTGTGCCCCCCTCCCTGCCCCGGGTGCCCGGCCAGCCGCCCCACTCACCTGTGACCAGCACCTTGTAAAGGGCCCGGTAGGGCTGGTTGGGGGCCTCTCCGGGCACGTAGTCGCCCAGGCCGATGGTGGACAGGGAGATGAAGCAGAAGTAGAAGGCATCCAGGAAGCTCCAGGCCTCCTCCAGGTGCGCAAAGACGGCGGCTGGCACCAGGAAGCACACGGTCAGGACGACTCCCAGCAGGGCCACCAGGTGCCAGCGGGCCGCCCGCTGGAAGTCCCAGCCCCAGCGCAGGGTGAGCCAGGACAGGGGCGCGCGGTTGAGCAGCAGCGACAGGCGCTGGGCCGCGGACGTGAGCAGCAGCATGGTGGCCGGCACGCCCAGCAGCGCGAAGGCGATGGAAAAGGCCTTGCCTGCGTCGGTCAGCGGCGTCGTGTACCCGTAGCCTGGGGGAGAAGGGGAAATCCTGTCGCCCGCCAGGCGCCTCCCAATGGGGGTCTGTGGCCACCCTAAATGACACTTAATCTCACCCTGGAACCTGTCCCTCCCACAGTCTCTCATCCCGTGATGGCACCTCCACCCCCACCCCACCCTCAGGCCCGAGCCTTGTCATCCTCTCCTCTCACACCCACTTTCTGTCTGCCAGTGAATCCTGCTGTCTCAAACTTCCAGTAGCTTCTAAACCCGCTCGCGTCACCCCATCCCAGCCCCAGGGCCCCACTCTGGGCAGGTCTAGCGTAGCAGCCTCCTCCCTCCCTTCTCGGCTCCAGTCTATGGCCAACCCCACCACCCCCACGGCTCAAGGGACCCTGTGAACACCTGAGCAAGGTCATGATGCTCCCCCACCTAGAGCCCCCCTGTGGCTCCATCCCATTTAAGCAAAAGGACAAAGTTTCATGATCTATGAGTCCCCACCCCCCATCCAACCAGGGCGCTCCCACCTCAGGGCCTTTGCACTGGCGGTTCCTACCCCCCTGGCAAGCTCTTCTTCCAGGGCTGGTTTCCTCCCTCCCTTCCTTCCTTGAGGTCTTTGCTCAAATGTCAGAAATGTCAGCTTTTCACTGGGGATTTCCCTCACCACCTTATTTAAATTGTTACACCCTTTTGCCCAACTTTTTTTTTTTTTTCTATTTTGGTTTGTTTTCAGAGCACGTCAACCTTCCTGCATACTATGGCTTACTTATTTGGTTAGTGTCCCTCTCTCCACCTAGCTGCCACTCCAGGAGGGCAGGGGCTTCTGTCTGTCTTGCTCACTGCCGTAACCCCAGTTTCTGGCACAAGGTGGGCACTTGATCAATAGTTGAAATAATCAGTGAAGGGGGCAGGCTCTAAACTTAGCTCAGAGCCTCAGTTTTCCTTTCTCTAAAATGGGTGTAACAAGCCCCACTGGGCTCCTGGGGGACTGTGGAAACACAGGAAGGTCAGTGTGGGTGTGAGCACTGCAGACAGAGAGAGGATGAGGGGAATTCAGGTGCTGGGGACACTGACACACTTTGGAAAGGTGTAATTTAAAATCTCTCTCTCTTTTTTTTTTTCACAAATAAATAAAACTCAAGGGTCAGAGATATGACTGGGGTAGTAAGGGCCCTGGTCTATGTTGACAGTAAAACATCCTGCCAAAAAAACCACGGGTTCAGCCCTGTGATCAATAAGAAAATATGGAAACACTGCACACAAGTGCAGGCATTCACCTGAGCCTGTTTTCTACACAAAGGATCCCTGGTGTTTATATGCTCAAAAGAACTGAAAGCCGAGCCTGGAAGACATGTCCATGTTCATGACAGCATTATTCACAGTGGCCAAAAGGTGGAAGCAACCCAAGTGTCCATGGTGGATGGTAACAAAATGCGGTATGAGGGCACCTGGGTGGCTCAGTAGTTGAGTGTCTACCTCCAGCTCAGGTCGGGATCCCGGGGTCCTGGGATCAAGTCCCGCATCAGGCTCCCCGCAGGGAGCCTGCTTCTCCCTCTGCCTGTGCCTCTGCCTCTCTGTGTGTGTGTGTGTGTCTCTCATGAATAAATAAGTAAAATATTTTTTCAAACGTGGTATGTACATCCAATGGAATATTATCTAGTCTTAAAAAGCAAGTTCTGACCCATGCTACAGCATGGATGAATCCTGAGGACATCACGCTAAGTGAAACAAGCCAGTCATAAAAAAAGACAAATACCGTATGATTCCAGTTATCTGAGGTACTTCAAATAGGCAAGTACAGAGAAATAGAAAGTAGAACGGTGGTTATCAGGGGCTGGGAGAACGGGGAATGGGAGATACTATTCGATGGGTATAGTTTCAGTTTTTTTTTTCTTTCTTTCTTTCTTTCTTTCTTTCTTTCTTTCTTTCTTTCTTTTGAAGATTTTATTTATTCATTCATGAGAGACAGGCAGAGACACAGGAGAAGGAGAAGCAGGTTCACTGCAGGGACTCTGATGTGGAACTCGATCCCGGGGCCCCAGGACCACTCCCTGGGCTGAAGGTAGGTGCTAAACCGCTGAGTCACCCAGAGATCCCTTTTTTTTTTTAGAGAGAGAGAGAGAGAACTCGCACATATGAGTGGGGGAGGTGGGCCCAGAGCCTGCTAGAATGGGCAGGTGAAGAGTAGCTGAGTCAGAGAAGAAGAGGCGGGGGGGGGGGGTGGACAAGGCAGTGGTGGTGCCCAGTGGAGTCTGGGACAGGGAAAACAAAGGACGCATGGCTGGGAGAGGGAGAGAGAGAGAATCCCAAGCAGACTCTGCACCCAGTGCAGAGCCCTGTGCAGGGCTCGATCTCATGACCCTGAGACCATGTCCTGAGCAGAAATCAAGAGTTGGCTGCTTAACGAACTGAGCCATCCAGGCACCCCAGTTTTGACCAATATAGGGCTTGAACTCACAACCCCAAGAGAGTTGCACGCTCCTCCCTCTGACCCTCCCCTCCACCCATGCTCTCTCTCTCTTAAATAAATAAAGTCTTTAAAAAGAAGAAGAAGAAGAAGAAGAAGAAGAAGAAGAAGAAGAAGAAGAAGAAGCCGCCTATCCCCTTTCTTTCCTCTCTCCTCCTGCTGGCTGGAACACAGACACGAAGGCTGGAGTTGAGCAGCCATCCTGGACCATGAGATGACCTTGTGAATGGAAATTGCACAGAGGAGCACAGGGGTCTCTGACCATGCATCACCACTCTAGTCTTGGACTGACAACCTCTAATGTGAGTAAGAAATAAACTTTCAGGGCACCTAGGTGGCTCAGTGGTTGAGCATCTGCCTTTGGCTCAGGTCATAATCCCGGGGTCCTGGCATCGAGTTCTGCATCAGGCTCCCCACGAAGAGGCTGCTTCTGCCTCTGCCTCCCCCTGTGTGTCTCACAACTAAATAAATAAAATCTTTTTTAAAAAGACAAATAAAACTTTCATCTATTTAAGCAACTGTTCATCTGACATTTATCACTTATGGCTCTGACCCTCATTAATTACAAGGATTTGGATGGAGAAACTCCAGCAGCCCAGCTGAAATGACAGGTTTGCAAATGACTCGAAAGCCTTGTAAACAGAAAAACTATAGAGTTCTCATAGAATGGAGGTTTGTGCCTCCACTGACTACCTCAAAGAGCCAAGTCCAAGTCAGGGCTTTGCCATGTATTCCCTGTTTGACCTTGGCCACATCCCTTCTCCTCGCTGAGCCTTAGTTTGCCCCCTGAGTACCGCAAAATGGGCTCATAACCAATCCTTTCCTCAAGTACAACTACAATCATCAATCCTCCCAGGTTGGGCCAGAGCGCAGCACCCAGCCAGGGCATGGAAAGAGTTAAGAGGACTGTGATGCTCACTTCCCCTCCCGGGTGGGCTGACTCCTCCACTTGGGCCTTAACTGCAGTACGGCTGCGCAGATCCAGTCTAGGCCCCAGGTCTTCCTCAGAAGACACGGGCCTATGACAAATCCAGGAACACCGTGGGGAAGGTCTCTGAATCACGTCTGGTCCTTCCGCTTCTCTAGATACATTTAGGGTTCCCGGCTTCACCAACAGTAATGACAACCCAGGCTCAGTAAACCTGTTATTACCAGCACTTCACGCTGATGAGGACTCCCTCCTTGACCCAACGTCAGTCATCAGTCGGGTTCCTCTGTGCACTCGTCCTGATCTAGGCCCAGCTTTCCCAGGGATCCTAAGCTAGCTTAGTAAGAATCTACCTCCCCTCTATGGGACCTCCTGGTCATTCTTCTATCCACTGACCTCTCACTCCACCCTCAGCTCTAAATCTCCAGCTGCCTCCCCTATATTCGGAGTCCAGGTCAGTCTCTTCCCTCTAGCAGTAACTTCCCATTTTTGACGAGTGTCAGAATAAACTTTTCTTCCACCCGACATACACGTATCCCCCTTCATCAGCATATGTGCTGATTAAAAGCACAGAACTCTGAGGCCTCATGGCCTCAGTTCAAATCTCCACTCTACACCTCCCTAGCTGGGTGGTCTTGGGCCAAGTGTTCAACCTCTCTGGGCTTCAGTTTCTATTGCCGAAAAAAACAGGGCCACACGTCGTACCTACCTCACAAGGCCAGTCTCCTGACTGTGTTAAAGGCTTTATGTGCTGAATCCGCTACAAGTTTCACTATTACTGTGAAGGAGGGACCATTATGATCTCCATTTCAGAGCTGAGGGAGGACACCGAAGCCCAGAGGAGCAGCAGCTAAGCAGACACCCAAAACAAAGCTGTGCCTGCCTTCAGTTTGGCTTCTGCACCTGTCCTGGCTGAGACGATTTCTCAGTAGCCAGGATCTGGGAGGAGGCCGAGGGAGACGCTGATGTGACCCAGTGAGGGCCAGGAGCAGGTCGGGCAGGCCCAGCCAGCTGTGTAGAACAGAGTGGTGAGAAGCATCTGGTCCTGCTGCCTGTGGTCTTGGTTTGCTGGTCCACACAATGGGGCACCCAAAGCTAGGCCACCCACTACTTCCCACATGAGGGGGAGTTAAGAGTCTGGGCCTGTCCCCACCTTTTTCCCCCACTGCAAGTCCCCCATAGAGGTGAAGGGGAAGTTTGGAGGCTAGAGAAGGGCAGCAGGAAGACCAGAGGGACCTGACAACAAAGGAATTTCCCAGGTCTGGGCACTGAAGGGGGAAGGGACTTTCAGAGTAGGGTTGTGGGGAGGAGGTCGGCTCCACTTAGTGGAGGGAGGTGTTCAGAGAAGGGGATCTGGAAAGTCAATAATCTGAAATCAGAGCCCACTGTCCTGGTTTGAAATGGATCCTGGTTTGTGGCTGGGGTCCTGAGGTCCTGAGTCCTGAGGAAGGAGGAGACAGGCACCGGGGGGGCATCTTGTGGACCACAGATGGGACTGGGAGCAGAATCCTCAGGCAAGGGGGCTTCTGAGCCCCCGGATGCTTGAGGGGACCTGATGGGGGTAGACAATGCTAAGGAGATGATGGCAGGAGGTGGGTGTCCCAGGTCTTGGCTGAGAGTGTGAAGGGTTGAATGATCATGATCATGATAATGATCATGAGTGGGTACTGGGAAGGGTTCCTGGGTGCTGAGGACCTGGTGTGTCTTTGATGGAGGAGAGAATTTTGGGTCCAAAGCCAGCTGGAGCAGCGCTGGGGTGGAGAGAAAAGTCCCACTTGTGGGTCTGGAGAAGACTGAGGGGTGTCAAGTCCCCAGGAGATTCCCATTCTTAGGAAATCCAGGGTGGGCAGGGGAGTCTCAGGACAGGGGTAGCAGGTGCGGAGAACACAGTCCCTCAGCTGGCACGCCGTGGTGGGAGGTGAAGCGGGATTCCGCTCTCAACAACAGTGTGTGTGGAGGGCACTGGGGTCTCTCCCTGATAGAAGGTTCAGGTAGCTCTGGGGCTCTAACTGAGGGTGCCAGGGTCCAGAGAGTGGTGAGAGTCTCATCTGGGGGTTCTTGGGTTCAAAAACACCCCCTAATGGAGAAGTCCCTGCTTTGGAAAGTGTTGGAAGTTTTGCTGGAGCTGTTTCTGGGGGTGGAGAGGTGGAAGTCCTGGCTCAGGGGTTTCTGGCTGGAAAGTCAGTGGTCCTTCCTGGAGGGTGCTCTAGCTCCCTCCACGATGGGTCCCTCTCACACATCCACAATTGGGAGCTGCTGACCCAGCAGCCCCGGGTTCAGAGGCAGTGGGGGTGGTCCTGTTGGAAGGAAACCCCTGCCTGGAAGGCTCCCAACACAGGGGTGATGTCAACATGGAGGGGCCCTGTGTCTGCAGTCAGGGCTGGCTGCTGGGGAGTATGGGCTACCTGCTTCCAAATATGAGGATGAGGAGTGGTCTTCGGTCTGCAGGAGGACAGGGGCCCTTGCTGGGGAGTGGTCTAGGTCCAGGGGGCTGGAAGCCACCGATCCGGGCCCCAGGTCCTTGTGGAGCGATCTGTACTGGCACTAAAATCTGTATGAAGGTGCCCTGAGAAGGTGTGGAGATTCAGGGTCCCCAGTGGGGCACCAGGGTCAGGAGGAGGCTGGGGTAGGGCTTCCCAAGGGGCATCCTCGAAGGACTTATCTGGAGACTCAGGAGACCTTGTGGGAGGGAAGGGCGGTCTGGGCCCAGAGGGAAGGGCAGAGGTCCCTGCGTGTCTGAGGTCCGGGGCCAGAGGGGGTGCGGGCCTCGGGGGGCGGCGGGGGTTCTGAGCGGAGTCCTGGCCCCAGAGAGGACTGGACGGACACGGGTCTCCGCGGGGATTCGGGTGGAGGAACGGGGTGCCCAGTGCTCCCTGGAAGCCACTCTGCGGGCAGCCCGGGCCGCGGAGGGGGCCGGGCGGGGGGTCCCCGCTGGCGGGAAGCGCTCGGCTGGGGGCTTCCCAGAGGGGATCGCCGGGGTGAGAGCATGTGGCGGACGCCGGGTGCCCGGGGCGGCGGCGCTCACGTACCCACGGTGGTGACCAGCGTGCTGGCGAAGAAGAGCGCCGAGGCGAAGTCCCAGGCGGGCTCCGAGGCGTTGGCGGGCCCCGAGGCGTGGGCGAGCGCGGCGCGCCCCAGCCGCCCGGCCGCCAGCACCCGCTCCACGAAGGCGTCCAGGGCGGGGGCGGCCACGCACGGGCTGCGCCGCAGCAGCTCCTCGCGCAGCGTCTCCAGCTCGGCCCGGAGGCGGGCTTCGTGCGGCCGCTCCAGCCGCGCCACCAGCAGCGCGCCCAGCACCAGGTAGACGGCGTACGCCGCCAGGGCGCCCGCCAGGACTGCGCCCCGCCGCATGGCGCCCGCCGCCCCGCTGACGTGGCCCCCGCCTCCCGGCCGCCCGAGCCCAGCTTCAGTTCCGGCCGCGCTCGAGGCGCCGCTGCGAGCGCCCCGAAGAGGAAGAGGGAAAAGAGGAGGGGCGGGAGGGGGGCGGAGCGCCCCGCCTCCGGTAAACTGAGGCACGCCCCAGCGCCAGGTGTGAGCGCGGGCGGGGCGGAGCCCCGGGATCCTGGACACCAACCGGATGGAAAGGTTGGGCGGGGGGGGGGGGGGGGGGGGAGGGGGCTTCCTCGGTTCCGCCGCTTCCCTCCCTCCGTCCTCCCGACGTTAGAGAAAATCTGAACACTTTCCCTCTGGCCGACGGAGAAGTCCCCCCCCCAGCCCGCGGGGCCACCGGGCAGGGTGGCTAAGATTTCGGGGCGCGAGGCTGAGGGGACGAGGGGACGAACTGAAATCCAGTCCTTGCTCGGCCCGCCAAGTCCTGCGCGCGGGAGGGGGCTGCGCGCACCTGGAGGGGACGCCTGTGTACGTCACACCGAGGGGGCGCCCGGGGGCTCAGGGGGCTCGGCGCGCAGGACCCTCGGTTCGCGCTCACGTAGTGATCTCCTGGGTGGTGGGACCGAGCCCGGGTTGGACAGCGCTCTGCCCCGGGGACGTCTTGAAGATTCTCTTCCTTTGCACCCCCCCCCCACTCCGGGGGCGCTCTCTTTCTCAAATAAATAAATCTTTAAAAAATAATTCAGGGATCCCTGGGTGGCGCAGCGGTTTGGCGCCTGCCTTTGGCCCAGGGCGCGATCCTGGAGACCCGGGATCGAATCCCACGTCGGGCTCCCGGTGCATGGAGCCTGCTCTTCTCCCTCTGCCTGTGTCTCTGCCTCTCTCTCTCTCTCTGTGACTATCATAAAAAAAAAAAAAAAAAAAAAAAAAAGATTAAAAAATAATTCAGAGGGGCCACGCCTGGGTGGCTCAGTGGGTTGAGCGCCTGCCTTCGGCTCAGGTCATGATCCCGGGGTCCTGGGATCAAGCCCCGCACTGAGCTCCCCGCTGGATGGGCAGCCTGCTTCTTCGTCTCCAACACTTGTGCTTTCCCGCTCTCGCCTTCTCTCGCTTTCAAATAAATAAATAAATAAAATCTTAAAAGAAAAATAGGGATCCCTGGGTGGCGCAGCGGTTTAGCGCCTGCCTTTGGCCTAGGGCGCGATCCTGGAGACCCGGGATCGAATCCCACGACGGGCTCCCGGTGCATGGAGCCTGCTTCTCCCTCTGCCTATGTCTCTGTCTCTCTCTGTGTGTGTGTGACTATCATAAATAAATAAAAATAAAATAAAAATAATCCAGAGACTGTTAACTGTACACAACAAACTGGAGGTTGCTGGAGGGGAGGTGGGTGAAGGAAGGGATGGGGTCACTGGGGAGTGGGCGTTAAGGAGGGCACTTGATGGAATGAGCACTGGGAATCACTAAATTCTACCCCGAAATGAACAATACACTATACGTTAACTAACTTAAATTTAAATAAAAATAATGATAGAGGCGCCTGGGTGGCTCAGTGATTGAGCATCTGCCTTTGCCTCAGATCGTGATCCCGGGGACCTGGGATCGAGTCCCGCATGGGGCTCCCCACAGAGATCCTGCTTCTCCCTCTGCCTATGTCTCTGCTCCTCTCTCTCTGTCTCTCATGAATAAATAAATAAAATCTTAAAAAATAATAATGATGATAATAATTCACAATAAGGGACACCAAAGAGGCAGGTGTCCCTCATGGACAGAGTAGGGATCCTTAGCTCAAATCTTTGCTCAGCACCCACTTTGTGCCTGGCCCCTTGGTGGGTGATGCTGGAGACACAGTAGTGACCAAGACAGTTCTAGACCTTGCCTGCCGCAGGGGGGTGGTGTGGGGGTAGTGGCTTCCAGCCCTTCAACCCAGCGACAGCCCAGAAGGTCAGGGAAAGCACAGGCAGAGTGACCAGATCTGGGATGGAGGAACTGAAAGGACACTGGCGCCCACAGGAACCCAGAGGGGGTAACAGATCCAGCTTAGGGAGGTCAAGAGGGCTTCCTGGGGAAGGGAATGTCTAAGATTAGACATCCTTATTTTTAAGGGAAAATAGAAGTGAGCAGGGGTCTCCTTCCCCCAGCAGAACCACAGACACACCCCTCTATTTAAGGGGGGAAAGGGCTTCTTCCCTGTTCCCTGTTTGTTCTCCACATACCCCTGCAGCGGTAACTGAGCACTCTCCTTAACAGCACTCCTGGAGGGCAGCCAGGATACCTGACCACATCAGAATGGCAGCGGAGTGGCGCTTGGGCCCAGCTCAGACACACCCCAGCTGGTTCAAAGAAGCTGTGACAGTTCTAGGGGGAGAGCTCAACTTGAGGCTGACAACCCACAGGAAGGGACACTTGATAATAAAAACAGTAAAGGCAACTGCCAGTGATCAAAGGCTGACAATATGCCAGGTCCTGTGATCACAGTGGGCTTTCAGCGAATCCTCAGCCTCTCCTACAGTATTCTCATTAAACAGATGAGAACATTTAGGCTGAAAAAGGGTCCAGTCACACAACTGGCAAGGGGCAATATGAGGGCACCAGGTAGCCAAAAATGCTTTCTTTTTTTAAAAAAAGATTTAATTTATTTATTAATGAAAGACAGAGAGAGAGAGAGAGAGAGAGAGAGAGAGAGAGAGAGAGAGAGGCAGAGACAGAAGCAGGCCCCATGCAAGGAGCCGGACATGGGACTCGATCTCAGGTCTCCAGGATCAGGCCCCGGGCTGCAGGTGGCGCTAAACCGCTGAGCTACCCGGGCTGCCCAACGCTTGCTTTCTTAATAAAACACTATGAATATTACAAAATATTCATGGAAGAGGGGCACCTGGGTGGCTCAGTGGTTGAGCATCTCCTTTTTGCTCAGGGTGTGATTCCGGAGTCCTGGGATCAAGTCCCGCATAGGGATCCCCGCAGGGAGCCTACTTCTCACTCTGCCTATGTCTCTGCCACTCTCTGTGTCTCTCATGAATAAATAAATAAATAAGTAAATAAATAAATAAATAAATTTAAAAAATCATATATATTCATGGAAGAACTTAGAGAGGGTGAGCTTAGGGTGAAAAAATGGTGATGTAGCCCAAGGGATGGATGCTAAGCCAGAGGTGCAGAGGAAGAATGGGGGTACCTCAGTCATGAAAAAAGGATTGCGACTGAGCCAGGACTCATAACTGAGAGACCAGAACAGTCCTCAAGGTCCCTGGAAAAGACAACTTCTCAGAAGAGGAAAGGGAAAGCCACAGTGACGGGGTCACTTGCTGACATCCTTCCGGAGAACTATCACTGCCTCAAAGTCACTTCTAACATTATTTTTGCCTGAGACAGAGAAGGGGAGAGAAAGGGGGAGACTGAGGGACAGAGAGAGACTAAGGAAACTTCATTTTTAGGGCTCCTCACTTGCAGGTGTGCCTGGGTGTGCTGTGTATTGCTGGAGGCTGCACAGTGGTTTTGGCAGACGGGGGAAGCCAGGTCGCCACGCAGGAGCGTTTTTATAAATCTGGGGAAATGTCTAAAGATATCTTCAGGGCAGCCCGGATGGCTCAGCGGTTTAGCGACGCCTTAGGCCCAGGGTGTGCTCCTGGAGACCTGGGATCGAGTCCCGCGTCGGCCTCCCTGCGTGGAGCCTGCTTCTCCCTCTGCCTGTGTCTCTGCCTCTCTGTGTGTGTCTCTCATGAATAAATAAATAAAATCTTAAAAAAAAATAAAGATATCTTCAAAGAAAGACACCTGGTTCTTCCCACCTAACTTCTCAGGAGCCCTCTTCTCTAAATATTCAGCTTAATACCAAAATTGTTAGAGTTAAGAGTCCGCACAACTCCACCCAGCCCCTCGAGAACACAAACGGATATCTCTCCCCTTGCTCCACACCCTTCCCTGGCTCCCCAGTGCTCTCAGCCACCCTAATTGAGCGTCTGTCCAGCGAGAACTGCATTTCCCATCGGCCTCATCGGGCCATGCCTACATTTCCCGTGATGCACAGGATCGCCGGCTCCTGGGCCGGTTCTCGGGCCTGCCCTCCTGCCCCTCTAGTGCTCACTCTCGCCTTCCCCCACCGGCCACCAGTCCCCGCCCAATGCCCATTGGCAACTCGTACGGGCCTCCGCGAGGGACGTGGTCTCCGCGCGATCGTGACTCCCATTGGCTGTCCCGTCGTCCGGGGGCCGTGGCTACGGGAGCCGGGCGGGCACATTTCGAACCGTGGCTGGGGCGGCGGCGGCGGCCGTGGTGGCTGCGACGGTGAAGGATGCACCCGGCAGGCTTGGCGGCGGCGGGGACGCCCCGGCAGCGTAAGTGGCGTACGTGACCGGGCGAGGAGATCGGGGAACGGGGTGGGGGGGGCAAGGGCGTGGCGGGGCCGCGGCGGCAGTTAGCGAGGTCGCTGCAGGTCGGAGGTCACGGGGTCAGGGATCTGGAGCTTCGGGGTGCGCACAGCGCTGGGATGCCAGGTCCGGGTAGGGGGCGCGTTGGGGACGATTCTTCTTTTCTTTAGGAAATCCCTTTGGAAGAAAACAACTTTGGGCAGGATATTGTGTGATGTGCAGGAAAACGCGGCTTTCATTCATTTGCAGTTACTGATCAGCCTTCTCCCCACCCTTCGGTGGCCTCGGGCTGTCGCCCGCGCTCCCTACGACGGCGTTCAGAGCCCTTCGGGAGCTGAGAGGGCCATGCTCGTTAAGTTCCTCTTGGTCTCGGCCAGTGTGCTCCATCTCATGTAATCAATCATTCAGCGGATCCTGCCTCAGCTGCCCTTGCAGCCGGCAGGCCCCGTGCTGGAATTTGGGTACCTGGTAGTAAGCAGCGCAGCACTAGTCCTCGTTAACTTAGGAGTCAGAGTTTAGTGGTGAGACTGACACTAAACTCGGAACAAACAAATCAGCAAGACAATCTGGGGAGTAATTAGGGCTGTAAAAGAAAAAATACAGGGTGTGATGGAGGTTCAGAGGCCTGATGTGCTCACCCCTCCCTTCAGCCACTAATGAGGTGCCTGGCTGGCCTGGTGGTGGGTCACCCTGGGGCTCCCGCAGTGCCCAGACAGCCCTGGTTGCTGTCCTCAGGGAGCTACCCGGACAGAGCAGAAGACAGCAAAGTCTAGAGCGATGATGTGCTGAGGAGGGAAGTCCAGGCAGAGGGGTCAGGGCCGGGGTGGAGGGATTGTGGTAGCCCAGATTAGGCATGTGACCCAGACAGGGCCTGTCGGTGAAGCTTCCGGAGAGAGGTTCCTCTAATGATGAGGAATTTGCTTGGAGAAGAGGATTTGTGGCGAGACGCCTGTCTGTGCCAAGTAAACAAGTGGACAGATGAATATATACTTAGGAAATGTGATTAAGTGCTCAGAGGGGAAATGAACCCCTGGATATTGTGAGAAAGAACAAGGTGGGGCTAGTGCTTTATACTGAGGAGTGAGGGAGGTCTCGGAGGAGGACACTCTTGAGCTGAGGCCTCAGTGCGATATTGGCAGATGTTAATCACGGAATGATGTTCCAGGGTGATAGCACTGCATGTTCAAAAGCCTGCGTGGGCTAGACGCTTGGCAGAGCCAGGGCCCAAGAGGCCAGTGTGACTGGGTTCGGTGAACCCCAAGGGAGGTAGCCATCGAGGGTGGTTGGAGGGGCTGGGGTCATGCAGGGCCTTGTAGGCACATGGATTTTATTCTCAGCACGGGGCGGGGTACTGGTCTTGGATAGGGGACGTGAAATGTTCCCTTTTGCATTTATGAAGATGATGCTGGCTGCTGACTGGAGAGAAGGCTGGTGGAGCAAGAATGGGCAGGCCTACTTAGGAGGAGGACCTTTATTTTTATTTATTTTTTAATTATTTATTTATTCATGAGACACACACAGAGAGGCAGAGACACAGGCAGAGGGAGAATCAGGCTCCATGCAGGGAGCCCGATGTAGGCCTCCATCCCGGGACTCCAGGATTGCACCCCAGGCCGAAGGCAGGCGCCAAACCGCTGAGCCACCCAGGGATCCCCTGGAGGAGGACCTTTAAGTCAGGTTCAAGACCACAAAGTCTGAAGGGGGAGGGTACACACTGAGACACAGTGAGTGAGAACTATCAATTGGACAGAAGAAAGAAGGGGAGTCAGGGGCTTAGACTCTGGGGTGAGGGCCCAGGCGCAGCCAGAGTGCACCGTGGGGAGCTGACCAGACCTGGATGTGGGGCCAGGAGAGAAGTGGTGGCTGGAGACCGTGGGGAGCTGACCAGACCTGGATGTGGGGCCAGGAGAGAAGTGGTGGCTGGAGACTGAGCCCACAGCCCAGGGCGTGCCGCAGCTGTGAAAGCTGTGGGTGGGTGAGACTGCTCTAAGTGAGAGGCGAAGCCAGAAATGTGGAAAATTGGGCCACACTGTGTCAGGGAGCCAAAAAAAAAAAAAAAAGTCATGGGTGTAGAGGGACCCATCCAGAGACCATCAGCCCCATCAAAACAGGAGTTTTTGTCTTTCTGATCATTGTGTATCCACCATGCCTGCAGGCGAGCCTAACACACAGGGGTGCTCGGAGGTGTTTGTGGGGCTCAGGAAAGGGAGAAGGTGGGCCAGTTGGAGGTTGGCATTTGAGACGGTGGAGTCACATGCTGCTTGAGTCAAATGACAGTGGCCAGAGGCTTCGGCCTGGCAGTGCAGAGGGGCATTTAGGAGGCCAGTAGTGGGGAGCAGAACCCCAAATATCGAGGACTGAGCGGGGGGGTGACGGGGAGGAAGGAAGGGCTTGCACCGAAGCTTTCAGAAGTGGGAGAGGGAAAGGAAAGTGGGCCGCGCCCAGTACTGCTGGTTCAGGGTTGAGCACACCTGGCTCTGTTCTCAGGCTGCAAATAACTGAGAGGAAGAGTCAAGGGACTAGTAATTGGCCATAGGGGACAGGGACACGTTTTATGTGTCAGGCCAGGGGCTGAGGAGTTTATGAGCGTCACTTGGCCTTGGGCCACTAACTGTTCCACAGAAGAGAGAGTTGAGGCACAGACAGAGTCAGGACAAAGAGGACGGGATTCCTCTCTCCCCTATCCCACTGTAACCCTCACTCATTCCCTGTGCCCACAGTGGTGCCTGGGACACAGGAGGAGCTCAGTAACTATCTGGTGACATTGCTTATGGATAGGGCTAGGGGGCCGTGCAGCCAGAGTGCGGGTTCAAATCCGTCCTGTGTTCCCCTTCTCTTCCCTCTTCCTTACCCCACCGCAGCTAAGCATGCCCCCAGCGAGTCCTGTCCCTCGGACCTCCAGAATCTGTCCAGAAGCAGCCCCCTCCCCACCCCTCCATCCCTGTTTCTGTCCCCCCCCTCCGCTACCACTGGAGCAGCTTCCTGCCTCCTCCCCTCCTCCTGCCCCCACCCCCACTGGAAGCCAAGAAGGACCTTTTAAAAACTGGAAACCTGGCTCTGCTTCATGCTATCCGAATGACTTGGGGGTAAGGGCCTGAGCCCCTCGGGGGCTGGCTATTCCTGTCTGTGAAGGCGGGCGTGATAGCACTGACACAAATGGGGATGAAATGAGTTAGTCCATAGTGTTAGGGCACAGCCCCGGATGTGGCAAGTGCTCATTGGGGTTTAATTATTGTAACATCGCCCGGGGCCAACCTGGGCTAGAGTCCTGCCCCGACACTCACTTGGTGTGGCCCCGTGCACAGGTCATTTCCTCTGTCGCAGCCTTGGTTGCCACATTTGCAACGTGAGGATGGCCGTCTACTCGGGGTTTTCTGTTTTGGTTTGGTGTGTTTTTTTGTTTTTGTTTTGTTTTTTTACTTGCTCTAAAGAATATATATATATATATATATATATATTTATATATTTATTTATTTATTTATTTTACATTTTTAAATTTAAATTCAATTTGCAAAAAAAATAATAATAATAAATTCAACTTGCCAACATATAACACCCAGTGCTCATCCCATCAAGTGCCTGCCTCAGTGCCCGTCACCCAGTTGTTCCTCAGGGTTTTATCAGGCACCCTACTGTAGCCCTGTGTGAGGAGCTGGGGATTCAGCTGTGAAAAGCTCCCCACCTTGGGGTGGGGGGGCTCCCATTTTACTGGGGAGACACTGAACAAAATAAATAAAACGGGTAGGCTGTCAGCTTGTGCGGAGCTCTGGATACATGTGAAGCAGGGAGGGGAGGTGGGGTGTGCTGCCGAGGTTGTAGACAAGGTGGTAGGGGAGCCCCCACAGATGGGCGGGAGAGAGCTGGCGCTGGGGTGGGGAAAAGCACCAGAGCAGAGGAACAGCCAGTGCGGAGGCCCCGAGGTGGGAGTGCGCCCAGTGTGTGCGCTGAACATCAAGGCCCACGTGGCTGGAGCACACGGGTGAGGGGAGCCCCAGGGGAGATGCGGACAGGATTCCGGGCACAGTAGGCCGAGTAACATAGTCGCTGTCAACGGCATCGTTGCTGTTGGTACTTGGACGGGCAGACAGAGGACAGGCCAACAGAGCTGCCCACACTGGACTAGGCGCCCATCCAACCTCCAAACCACCGCCGGCAGGAGAGCACCCACAGAATGAACGAAGCTCCCCACCCTCTTCCCCTGTAGCGTCGAAGCGGAGGATCCCCGTGTCCCAGCCGGGCATGGCTGACCCCCACCAGCTCTTCGATGACACAAGTTCGGCCCAGAGCCGGGGCTACGGGGCCCAGCGGGCTCCCAGCGGCCTGGGCTACCCTGCAGCCTCCGCGTCCCCGCAGGCCGCCTTCCTGGCTGACCCTGTGTCCAACATGGCCATGGCCTACGGGAGCAGCCTGGCCGCACAGGGCAAGGAGCTGGTGGATAAGAACGTGAGTGGGCTGGGCAGGTGGGGTGGGGGGAGGCGGGGGCCAGGAGGCCAGGGCTTCAGACTTGGGCTCTGCCTCCCTCCAGATCGACCGCTTCATCCCCGTCACCAAGCTCAAGTATTACTTTGCCGTGGACACCATGTATGTGGGCAAAAAGCTGGGCCTGCTCTTCTTCCCCTACCTGCACCAGGTCAGCACTGCCCCCACCGAGGGGAACTGAGTCCGAGGAGGGGGGACGCCTCTGGGGGTGGAGGGTTGGGGGAGAGGGTTTGCCCCAGGAGCGGGCTCAGCTCTGGGGGTCCTGCTTGCTCCCTTCACTCTGCCCGCAGGACTGGGAAGTGCAGTACCAGCAGGACACTCCCGTGGCCCCCCGCTTTGATGTCAACGCTCCTGACCTCTACATTCCAGGTCTCCCCCTCCCTATCCCTGCCCCTTCTCCCCCTTGGGGGGGCACGCCTAGGGCAGAGGTGTAGGCACCCAGTGCCCCAGAATGGTCCGTCTGCCTCTGACCAGTGTCTGTGTATCTGCCTCCCACAGCTATGGCTTTCATCACTTATGTCTTGGTGGCTGGCCTGGCGCTGGGGACCCAGGATAGGTAAGGGAGGCCTGGAGTAGCCAGAGCGGGGTGAGGCTTGGGGGGCTGAGGGGCAGTCAGGAAGGTCTCTTGGATCTCCTGTCTCGGAACAGCCCCACCGTACTCCCAGTGGGCTCAGGACAGAGCCCTCGGTGTCACCGCCAGCGTCACCCTTTCCTCGCTTTCCACCCATGTGAGCCCATCACTCTGGCCTCCTTCGCAGATGCAGCTCATCCTCACTGCCTCCTAACCAGCTGCCTTGCCCACATACCCTCTGCACCCTGACTCCAACAGCAGCCAGGAAGATCTTATCTGAGGTGTGGGCCTGGTTACATCCACCCTGCTCAGAAGCTGCCCATAGCTCTCCCGTCCCCAGATCAAGCCCTGGCTCCTTAGTCTCCCACTGCACGGCCTCCATGCAGCTGCTCTCTGCCCCTCCTCCTCACTCTGCCTCGCCACTCCAGGACTCTTTCCATCTTCCAGACGGCCTGGTGGTGCCTGACCCCTGCCCCAGGGCCTTTGCACACCCAGTTCCCTTAGCTCAGGAGTCTGTTCCTCCCCTGCACCACCTGCTGAGCACCTGCTCACTTGTGATGTCTCCACTCTGGCGTCACTTACTCAGGGAAGCCTTCCCACCCCCCAAATGGGTCAAACCCCCACGTCTCACTCTTAGGTCCCAGTTCATTTCTTCTGTGGCATTGAAAAACAATGGCCATTGGAGTCAATTCATTGTTGAGGCACTAGGGGCAGAGACCACGGTCCTTCTTCCCAGTGAGCTCCTTAGTCCTCTGGCTTCAGCTCAGGTGGTCTCTCCTCTGGGTAGCCCTGACACCGCCCGACTGGATTAGGAATCTCCCCTGCCCTGTGCTCCCCTCACCCCAGCCCTGACATCTCTGGGCTGTCACTGAGGACGAGCCTGCCTTCCCTGAGTGAGATTTCCTCGAGGACAGGGTCCAGATCCATCTTGGTCACTGTTGAGTCTCCAGCCCCACCCAACACAGGGAGGGTGAACCGGCAGTTGGGGTGACAGAGCTTGGTGCCGGCAGGTTCTCCCCAGACCTCCTTGGGCTGCAGGCAAGCTCTGCGTTGGCCTGGCTGACACTGGAGGTGCTGGCCATCCTGCTCAGTCTCTACCTGGTCACTGTCAACACTGACCTCACCACTATTGACCTGGTGGCCTTCTTGGGCTATAAATACGTTGGGTGAGTACCTCCTTCTCCTCCCCCCGCCTCCAGCCCCACCCCCGAGGCCTCTTCCTCAGACCGCCTTCCCCTCTCTTCTCAGGATGATTGGGGGGGTCCTTATGGGCCTGCTCTTTGGGAAGATTGGCTACTACGTAGTGCTGGGGTGGTGCTGCGTGTCTATCTTTGTGTTCATGGTGAGCTGGGGCTCAGGGGAGGATGGGGCTTGAGGGCACAAGCCCTCAGATTTGGGGTCCCCTGGAGGCATCCATCCAGAGCATGGCAGCCTAGGAGTTAAGAGCCACCTTGCCCAACTGAGGAGCCTTAAAGTGGCTATCCCAGCCTGTGGGGTCAGGAGGGCTTCCTGGAAGAGGGGGTGTCCAGTCTGGGGTCTGAAGGAAGAGGAGCCAGCTGGGCTGTTAGGGTGGGCTCTCACCCTCACTCCACTCTTAGGTGGTGACATGGTGGGCTTTCCTGCCAGAATTTCTGACAGGATGAAAAGGGTTTGGTATCCCTGGAAGTAGCTTCTCTGGGTCCCAAGCAAATCACTTCCTCTCTTTAAATCTTTAGAACTGTTTCCCCTTTTGTAAAAAAGAGGAATGATGATAAATGCACCTCAGGGCCCTGGGAAGAGGCCGTGTGAGCCTGTGTGAGGAGCAGGGGGCGAAAACTGGTTGGCCAAATCTGACCCTCAGATAAACTTTGACCTAGATGTCATTGTTTAAAAGTAAAAAAAAAAAAAAAAAAAAAAAAGCCTTTCTGGCTTATGTCGAAAAACTCATCGCGCCAACAGCAGCGAGTGGCAGCAGCCATGGCCCGGCCCCGCCCCCCTCAGGCAGGGCTCGCGGAGCGCGCACCCCACACCCTCCCGTGCCCCCAAGGCTCGGGTACGAGCAAGGCCTCACCGGCCGTTAGAGGAGATGTGGGGGGATCCGAGGCTCCCCACGAGCGGAGACTTGGGCCCGGCGGCCGAGGACTCAGGCTGAACCCCCCCCCCCCCCCAGATCCGGACGCTGCGGCTGAAGATCCTGGCGGAGGCGGCGGCCGAGGGCGTCCCGGTGCGCGGGGCGCGGAACCAGCTGCGCATGTACCTGACCATGGCCGTGGCGGCGGCGCAGCCCCTGCTCATGTACTGGCTCACCTTCCACCTGGTGCGGTGAGGGCGGCCCCCGCCCCCCGCCCCCCGAGGTGCCGAGGCCGCCGCCGCACGCGCGGTTCCGGAAACAATAAACCGTGACGGGCTCGGCGAGGCGGCGTCTCCTTGGCGGCGCGGGCGGCCGGCGGGGGCAGGCCGGGCCCGGCGGGGAGGGGCGGGGCGGGGCGGGGCGCGCGCACCACCTGGCGACCGGGAGGCGACCGGGGAGCGGAGGAGAGGGAGGAGAGGTTTATTGAGACCCGCCCAGGCCCGTCAGCGGGGAGCCTCCTTCTTCGCCTTCCCTTTCTTCTCCTTCTTCTCCTTCTTCTTCTTCACCTTGGGCTTCTCCGCCTTGCCCGGCGAGCTTCCGTGCTGCCCCGGGGCGGCGGCGCGAGGCTGCGGGGCCGCGGGCGCGGGAGAGGAGAGCGGGGTTGGGCCGGGGAGGCCGGGCCGGGCCTGTGCCCTCCCCCGGGCGCCTGCGGGGGGCGGGGGGCGGGGGGCTCCTACCTTCCCTTCATGGTCGGAGTCGCTGGAGCTGCCGCTGCTGCTGCTGGAGTCCGAGGAGCTGCGGTGGCCGTGGCCCTGCCCGTTGGAGGCGCGGCGGTGAGGCCGGGACCCCGGCCCCGGCCCCGGCCCCAAGGCAGCCGCCCCCGCCCCAGGGGGACTTACCCTCGGTTTATCCGCCGACGCGCCCTGAGCTTTGGGGGCGCTGTGTTTGTGGTCTCCCACCTGGCCTGTCCCGTGGGGCTTCTTGGAGTCCAGGGCTGTGGAGAGAAGTCGGGTGGGTTGGTGCGGGTGCGGTGGGCGGGATGCGCCCCTGGAGGTTTCTGGGGTGTAGCCTGGCCCCCTGCGCCTCGGATGCCCGTCTCCCCAGGAGCGCACCTGCGGTCAGGTCGAACTCCATGGTGGTGAGACGAGGTCTGTGGGGAGGCCGCCGGGGGCCTGGGTAGTGCCCGAGGGCAGGGGGCAGGCCGTGGGGAGGAGCCGTGGGAACTGCCCGCCCAGGGACTTCTGGGGAGCCCCACCCCACCTTGTTCAGATTCCTTAGCCTGACTCACAGCCCCTCCCCAGCACCACCCAACTAATGTGGGAAACGGGGGTGGGGGGGTGGACAGTTAAGGGCTAAGTTTCCACGCCCCCCCCCCAGCCTTGGCAAGGGAGGGGGGACTGTGTGGGCAGCTGTAGACTTCTGGGAGAGGGCTGCCGCTGTCACCTGCTTCCCCCAAGAGGCTCTGATGCCTGCTTTGGAAGAACCGAGAGGGAGGGTCCCGCCCTGTGCCCCGCGCCCCGCGCCCCGTCCCGTCATCATGCTGACACTGTACTCACTGCGGGCCAGGCACTGTTCCAAGGGCTGCAGGCGCAGTAACTCACTTTCACAACCCCCGAAGGGGCAAAGAGCAGGAGCTGGTCCTCCTGAATTTGAGGACCGTGTCACTTAGTAGCGAGGTGAGCTCAGGAAAGACTTGGCCTCTCCGTGCCTCCGTTTCTTCATCTGTACACGGCAGGTACCATATGGGGTTGTCGTAATGAATTAATTTTCTAGAACCATGCCTGGCAAGATACGGTTTGGGGTTTTTTAATCAGAAGGTAGGTATCATTACTACCCCTATTTTACAGATGAGAAAACTGAGGGACCAAGTAAGTAAGACAGCGGGGGGCAAATGTAGTGTGAATGCCTAGAACTGGGATCCACAGCCAGACTCTGGCCCCTGGGGCTCTCCCTGGAGGGTGCTCAGCCGCAGGCGTAGCTGTGAGCCCCGCCTGCCCTCCCCATGCTGGCCTGGGCCAGGCAGGCTGTGGGGGAGGGGGAGCCCCGAGCCACTTGCTCCCATTGCTGTGAGGCTAAGTGTCCTTCGCGAGTCCCTCTGTGACACAGCTCTGCCACCAGCAGCTGGGCTGCCGTCCAGGCAGGAGTCATTCATGGCTGACGCCTGGGGATGATGATGATGACCATGTGTACTCTGGTCTCTGGTCCAAAGTGCATTCCTGGGAGAGGCCTCCCCTGGGTGCTGGCTCCACTCGGCCTATCGCTTTCACCTCTTTCCCCTGCTTGATGACCAGCTTAGCCCTTAAAGACAATAAAATGTTATCTTTATGGTCCATTCCTTCAGCTTATGTTTGTTGAGTACCTACTAGGTGCCCAGGACGGTTCAGGTGCTGCGGATACAAAGGTTAACTAAGCCAGCAAACATCCCAGCCTCACGGGATTAGCTCTCTAGTGGGGGAAACAACTGTACGGAATGTTAGAGAACAACGGGAAACTAAGGCGTCTGGTGAGTTGGTAAACGGAGAGACAAAATGTGAATATCTACGTGGCGGGACACTACTCCGCCATAAAAAGGAAGTGAACTGACATATACCGCATCGTGCATGAGCCTCAAAAACATTCTGCGAGGTGAACGAAGCCAGACACCAAGGAGTCCATACTGTAGGAGTGTTTGCCTTTAGTGTTCAGAGAAGGGTTAGTGAGACAGCAGGTGGGGGGTTGCTGGGAACTGCGTGGGGAATGGGGATTAACTAATTGTAGAGGATGAAAATACATCCGAAAACTGATGTATGGTGATAACTGCACCACTTGGTAAAATTATTAAAAACTGGGGGCACGGGATCCCTGCGTGGCTCAGCAGTTTGGAGCCTGCCTTCGGCCCTGGGTATGATCCTGGAGTCCTGGGATCAAATCCCACATCAGGCTCCCTGCATGGAGCCTGCTTCTCGCTCTGCCAGTGTCTCTGCCCTTTTCTCTGTGTCTCTCATGAATGAATGAATGAATGAATGAATGAATGAATGAAATTTAAAAAAAAAATGGGGGCGCCTGGATGGCACAATTGGTTAAGCATCCCACTCCTGGTTTCAGCCCAGGTTGTGAATTCAGTGTCGTGGGACCAAGCCCCATGTCTTTGCTGAGGCAGAGCCTACTTAAGATTATCTCTCCCTCTCCCCCCAGGCTCACTCTCTCTGAAAATAAATCTTTAAAAAAATTAACCCCTGAACTGTACATTTGAAATGGGTAAGTTTGGGATCCCTGGGTGGCGCAGCGGTTTGGCGCCTGCCTTTGGCCCATGGCGCGATACTGGAGACCCGGGATCGAATCCCACGTCGGGCTCCCGGTGCATGGAGCCTGCTTCTTCCTCTGCCTATGTCTCTGCCTCTCTCTCTTTCTCTCTCTGTGACTATCATAAATAAATAAAAATTTAAAAAAATTTAAAAAAAAAAGAAATGGGTAAGTTTTATGTAACTTATGCCTCAATAAAGGCTGTATTTTAAAAAGCAATATGCACGAAGGAGAGAGCAAGAAAGGGGGCTAGGTAATAACTACATGGTATGTTGGGGAGAGGCTGGATTTTATTTTTTTTAGGATAGATTTATTCATGAGAGAGAGAGGGAGAGACACAGGCAGAGGGAGAAGCAGGCTCCATGCAGGGAGCCTGACGAGGGACTCAATCCGGGTCTCCAGGATCACACCCTGGGCGGAAGGAGGCGCTAAACCACTGAGCCACTGGGGCTGCCCGAGAGGTTGGATTTTAGTTGCCAAGGAAAGCTTCACTCAAGTCTTTTTTGAATAAAGATCTGAAGATGAGGAGATAAGCCATGCAAACACAGGGAGGTAGTGTTCTAGGCAGTGGGAATAGCAACTGCAAAAGATCCTGAGGCAGGAATGTACCTGAGTGATGAACTACAAGGGCTTCAGAGTGGTGGTGAGAATGGAGGGGAAGACATAGGAGATGAAGAGGGATGGTGGGGGTGGAGCGGGGGGCTTGTACATCGGAGACCTTCGATCTTTACTCCGAGTGAAAAGAGGTGGTGAATGATGACTGGCTTTATGCACAACTGGATGCAGGATATGAGAAAACGTGTTTTTCCAGGCAAAACAAATTCCCTGAGGGTTAGGGACTTTTTTTTTTGCTCAGCATCCAGAACAGCAGGACTTGGAATTTGGTGCTCACTAACATCTGGTGAAATAGTGAGGTTACCTGATACCAGGCACTCTGCTAACGTCATGGCAGGTTACAGCAGGCACAGAGTGCCTAAGAGTTTGGGTTGTGGAGGGTCAGGTGCTCACTGGAATCCTCCCTCTACTTCTTACTGCTCTATGAATAAATAAGTCAGCCACCCTGCACCTCAGTTTTGTCCTCTGTAAAATGGAAGACTTCCACTCATAAGGTGAGGGTTGTGTCTGGAGCCTGCCCGGCACAAGGTAAATAGATACTCAGTAAATGTTAGTTTTATTATTCATATTCACAAGCACAACCTCATATGATTACTTGTGAAGCTGGCAGTAGGATCCCATGTTCTGTATGAGACAGTTGAGCTTCAAAAAGAAGGTTTCGTGCCCAAGGACACTGGGCTAGTAGATCGCAGAGCGGTAGTGGGAGATCTTCCAGACCCAAGATGAAGTAGCTCTTTACTACTTTGCTAAGATTGTGGAGAGGGTGAGGGGGTCTGGAGAAGAGCAGCCTGATGCTCCAAATTCCCCTCTATTCACTTCTGTATTAGTTAGGAGGTGGCTGCTGCTAGGCCAGAAAGAGCATTAACAAGATAGCTTCACTTTTTCTCCCATAAAATCACCCAGGGACCTGGGCTCCTAACTCTGGTTGCTCTGCATCCTTTCCGGGTGTTGCCCGTGAACATACAGGGGAGCTGGATTCTTGGGAAGGGAAAGGGCGAGTAGAGGGCACACCAGTTCCTATTAAGGACCCCACCTGGAAGCAGCACGTCCCTCTGCTGAAGAGACTAGGAAATTACAGCACCTTGCTGGGCAGCTGTGTACCTAGAGAAAACCTGGGGACTTCTTTACTGAAAGGAAGAAGGGGATATGGACACAGGAGCCTGTGTGTCACTACTCCCCATTGGGGGCAGTGAATATACCCATTCTCTTGTTCTAACCCAGAAGACTTACAAACGGAGGCGAGGGCAGCCTGGGTGGCTCAGTGGTTCAGTGCTGCCTTTGGCCCAGGGCATGATCCTGGAGACGGGGGATCGAGTCCCACATTGGGCTCCCTGCTCCCTCCTCTCGCTCTGTGTCTCTCTCGTGAATAAATAAAATCTAAAAAAACAAAAAAATGGAGGCCAGATTAGAGCTGGGAAGGTGAACCCAGATGCTTAATGGGAAGATGGTGTGAGGGCCTAAGGCGAGTATGTCCAGCCTTCTGCTCTTCAGAAAACACCCCCTGCTGTTCAGTACTCATCTAGGTGCCACCAGGCGCAGGGACAAGAGCTTCTGTCCCTCCCCAGGCCTTGCCTGCCCCTGACTGGTAATGCCTCTGCCCTCCTCTGCTTGCTTCCTCATTGACTTGGTCCTAAGCAATGCCTTCTTTGTAGGAAGAAGGGACTTGTGTTCCCAACTGGCCTGCAATACTGCCATTCACTACTAGACTGGCTTTCTCTTTCTCTAACGTTTCACCAGCAGACAATCTTTGGAGGGTCACTCCAACCCTGAAGTTTTTACTTAATCTCTGCAATTTAGGAGGAGATTGCCGGATGCCAACTTCAGTGGCTAGGGAAGCCAAGATGGAGTAGGACCACGGAGTGGGTGGCTGGGACACAGCCTTCCACGGGCATCCTGCACCCCTACACATGAGGAAAAAGCACTGCTGCAAGGCCTACTTTCATCTCTGTCCTGAAGTTTACCTGAACAGAGCACCCTGGTCCTATAAACATCATAATCCCTATACCAAAACGTTTTCTTTGAACTTAACCACATCCCAGGAGATGGATGACTTTAAGTGCACAGTACATAGGGACTCAGCTTCCTCTGTCCCAAGACTAAAGTGTGGCACTGGCCCTGGGCATTCTGGAACACTAATGATCAGAACTTCTTGATGGGCCCCCCTTTGGGGGTATGCTAAGGGGCTGACAGCCCAGCTACAGAAAGCCAAACTTGGCCACCACCCAACTGACTGTTGTGTCTGGGATTTTATTTCACTCTATTTGCAAGTTAACAAGTTAGCTGGTAACTGTTTCCAAAATGCTGGCAGACCCTCGAGATTCCTGGGTCAGAGGCAGAGCTTTCTTACTCCCAGCCAGCAGCTTAAGCATCAGCAGGTGTTGGTTCCCTCTGCCCCATGGGGGCAATGGGTTGTATCACAGGAGTAGGACAGGAGCTCCGGGGACCTGGCGCTTTATAGTAAGAAGCAGGCAAGCCTGCTTTGTCCTACAGGGAGCCACTCTCATCCCTCTAGGTGCTCGCTGCAAACCCAACCCTGAGGGCAGCCCTGGGTGGCTCAGCGGTTTAGTACCTGCCTTCTGCCCAGGTGTGATCCTGGAGTTCCGGGATCGAGTCCCTCATCAGGCTCCCTGTATGGGGCCTGCTTCTCCCTCTGCCTGTGTCTCTGCCTCTGTGTCTCTCATGAGTAAATAAAATCTTAAAAAAAAAAAAAAAAATACAACCAACCCTGAGAGACTGCCGAGGTAAGCAGTGGTCAGGGTCACATATTTTTGGTGCACCCAAGATGCCTGATAGCATGAGACAGACCCCCCTGGATGACTGTCTCTGCCAACAATCCAGCCCTCCTTCCTCCCCGGTGAATTTTCACACAAGAATGCCACTCTGATAAATCTAACAGAGCTTGAGAGCGAATTCATTCAATTCCTCTCAGACAGCATTTAATTAAAGTGACCCAGGAACAGGACTCCAAGGAGCAGTGAGTCCTGCTAAGACACCAACCTGCCGGCCAGGGTCCTGGAGCTTTCCAGCTGTGTAGGAGCAGGCATCCTGCAGACAGCCAGGATGTAGTCTAAGACTAGTCTATAATCCATTAGGACCCACCAAGGGACTTCAGGCTGACCTGTGGCTCTTTGGTATCATTACCAATAATTACAAGGCACCAAAGCAACCCTCATGCCCAATGGGGAGACACTGTGGCTCATTCTTTTCCACCTGCAAGCACATAGAATACTGGGGCACAGGGCCCTGCAGTTCAGGATTTGTCAAGCTGATCTTGGACCACCACATGGGCAGTGCCACTGAATAGTTGCAGCCTCAACCACCATCTATGGCATAGCCCGGGGTTGCTTGGGCCTCAGAAGTGTGATTTTTATCATACAGACTGGAACAAGGCTGTGCAAGTTTGATCAT